GAAAAGAAATGAACAGATTTGACCCATGTTTTGATTTGACTGTCAAAGCTAACGGTCAACCATTTTTTTGTCTGAGACTCAACTCGTTGTGCTGAGATTGCATCCACGTCATTTACTTTTTTTGTCGAAACACGTTCTAACATCTCGAATCTTTTCCCGACAAAATATTGTCCGCTTTGGGCCTATATCTTCACAGATTTCGACTTGGGGGTGCATATCAATGTGACTTTCCATAAGGTCACTCATCCTTGCAGTGCTCCACACTGCGCACGTTTAACTTCGGAGTCCTCACGAGAACCTCTTAATTTCACTCCAAAACGCGTCTTGTCGGTTAAGATTAGTTTCTTATTAATCATGGATCTCTCTCATGCTTTGTCGATAAGGGATTTGCCTAAGGTGTTCCACATGTCATTTATAATTTAAATAAAAAATTAAATAAGTACCATAAGAGAAAGGGTTAAGAACCACAAGACAGTCTCTCATTTCTTATCTTTTTCTCTCATTGTCTCATCCCTACCCTTGCCCTGAGCATCCATTCTTGGCCGCGCACACTGATTTCCCAACTCTTCATCGTCGTCGGTGAAACCACCTCTCCCATGCCACAACTTATTGACTCCCTCGCTCAACTCAATTCCCTTGCCATCGATAGCGAGCCAAGCTTGAAGTGGATCATTACTCTTCGTCGGCGAGGAGGGTGACAGAGTGTAGAAGAGAGCGAAGGAGGTGATGTGTGGGTGCGCGGAAGTAGGGCGGATCCCATGACTAAGGGGGGTCCTTAGTCACTAGACTAAACCCCCCTAGCCCTTAGATCTAGACACACCAATCTAACGGTTAAAAAGTGGAAAGGAATTTTTAATTTGTGACAGAAGTAGTTTGGATATTATGAAAAATTACTAAGTATACAAACCAGACTTACAAACAGTACAAACCATACAAACAATACAAATTAGAACGAAAAAACATACAAACAGATTTATAAACAATACAAAACATACGAACTATACAAACAATGGAAAAAAATAGTCGGGTAGACTTTGGAGACTCCATCTCTATATAGAGGACTTCCGTCGGAAAGTCAATCTGGTTATTTTTTAGACCTAAAAAACATTATAAATGTGGTGCACAAAAATGACAAACATGGTGGACAAAATTAACAAAGCTTACAAACATTACAAAAGGAACCGACAAACAGAACAAAGCATACTAATCGTACAAGATACCACTACTTACAATACAAATTGGTGAACTTGTATTACAAAGCAATGAATACAAAATATACAAATCATAACATAAAGGTATACAAACTAGACAAACAAACATTACAAATTTCAATATATACAAAATAGTCATACAAACATTACAAATATAATAGACAAAAATGATAAACAATACAAACCGAATTTATATAAACATTACAAAATAGGCCGACAAATATTACAAATCCAACACTGCTTTCGGAAAAACCTCAACTATCGCCGGCGATAGATCGGAAAAAGTCTACTCCACCGTTGCCTCTCTCTCTCTCTCTCTCTCTCTCTCTCTCTCTCTCTCTGCCAGGAAAATATAATTCCTAGAAACAGACGGCCGGAAAATCACAAGCAGGGAATAAAGTCGTCGATGGTGACGCCGAAGACCCACGAGCAGGGAAAGAACAAGAAATTTTTAAGTAAATTAAAAATTAAAAAATTTTGTAATTACTACATTACCCTTCATTAAATGAGATCAATTGTAACCATTAGATTTAAATGAGGCTCAATGACTGAGATTTACTTAGTCATGAGACTAAGAGACCCTACCCCCTTTAGTCACTTGCTCTTAGCTCTGCGCCGTGCAGAAGGGAGGGCAGAGCTAGTGGGGCACGTGGCCGGTCTAACCCTTGTTTTCAATGTTTTTTGTTTTTGAATTATGAATGACGTGTTAAAATGACTAATTATATAGTAATGATGTGGATGTCATCTCAATACAAAAAGCTGAGTCATAGACAGAAAAAAATAGTTGACTATCAATTTTCACAATCAATTCAAAATGCGGGTCAAATTTGTCCATTTCTTTCAAAAGTTGGTCATAACTGTAATATTTGAAAGTTAAGACCAAAATTTTCATTAATGTCAAAGTTAAGACCAAACTAGGGCATTATCTCTAAATTAATTATGTACACAATTCACATTATAGATCATATAGTCATTTCCCACCAAAAAAAAAAGATCATATAGTCATTTACTTGTCAATTTGACTATCACAATATTTGCATAAGATGATTTAAGAGTTTAACATTTAAAATCAAAAGCATTTTCATGATAAACCTTATTATTACCTTATATGGCATGACCAATTGACTATGTTAGCTTTGACAACTATCATGAGTTCTTTCATTTCAATAATGTCACTTGGACAATCTCAAATAAAAGTTATTTCACATTATAGATAAAAATATAATTAATGAATTGATTAACAATTTTATTATCAATATTTACAGATAATGATAGGAGTTAACATATAGTAGCTAAGACTATATATATATATATATATATATATATATATGGTGCTTTCTACTGTACCCCTAGTGAAATTCGGGGTACCGGATACCTTGAGTATGGAAACGGTATCTAGACCTCGAATTAGCAGGATTTTTGGGTCTGATACTATACCCTAACCCTTAATGAGTGAACCCTAGGTCCTAATTATGTAAATCATAATCTATAAACCCTAAGATGGTGCATTCCTTTTTGTGTCTATATTTGGACGAATCATAACCGTCGATTATTGTTTCTAATTAAATTGATCTTGGAGTATAAGATTGGGAGAATTAAGACCTAGATTTTGATCTTTAAGGGCTAGAGTATAGTATCATGTCCGAAAGATCGGTCAATTCAAGGTCTAGATAGTGTTTTCATACTCAAGGTATGCGGTACCCCGGATTTTACCCAGGGTACCGTAGAACTCACCATATATATGGTGCTTTCTACTGTACCCCTAGTGAAATTCGGGGTACCGGATACCTTGAGAATGGAAACGGTATCTAGACCTCGAAATAGCAGGATTTTTGGGTCTGATACTATACCCTAACCCTTAATGAGTGAACCCTAGGTCCTAATTATGTAAATCATAATCTATAAACCCTAAGATGGTGCATTCCTTTTTGTGTCTATATTTGGACGAATCATAACCGTCGATTATTGTTTCTAATTAAATTGATCTTGGAGTATAAGATTGGGAGAATTAAGACCTAGATTTTGATCTTTAAGGGCTAGAGTATAGTATCATGTCCGAAAAGCAGTTTGTTGCCACATAAACATTTGGAGAATTTACAAGCTGCCATGGTGGACAATTTTTTTACAAACAAAAAAGTTAGTTAATGATCAATTAATGTAGAGCTATCTATATTTTTTAATATTTTCTTTTTATTTTAATGATCATTTATGTAGCTATCTTTATCTTCTTTTAATGTTTTCTATTTTTATGCAATAATTGTATTTTCCAATATATATGTGTAGCAGTAGTATACTTATGTTTGGAGAGTAACATATATTGTAATGCTTCAAAAAAATATTTAATTAAATCTAATCAATTAATTTTTCTTTTTATTTTTATTAGAACTTAATATATGTTATATTTCGATAAAAAATAAATTTAACACACAGATAAGTAATAAAAAATTTTAAAAAAATATAATGAAGGAAGTTTAGATAATCAACATTTAATAATCAATTGAATTTGAAAAACCAACTATATAATTTTATGTTTTGGTTATCAAACGCTATCTTTTTCTAATGTTTGTATCTATCAACGAAAACAAGTATTAAATAGTAAAATGCTTCAAAAGTTGTTTTTCATTTTGATAGAAACTTGACGAAGCCATAATATAGTACCTGATTGTACAAATGAAGACGATAAAGAAAGACAATGTTTCATCTCTCTTATAATGCATGCTTCCATACCTTATTTTCTCTTACATTTGTTCACTTCCCATTATTTTTCTTAACGGTTTACATATTTCGGTCAAACAAATGTGTTAATTACACTTAAAAATACATTAAACTCTATATATATATATATATATATATATAAAGAGTTTAATTATAAACAAAAATCAATTGTCATGATTCGTTAAAATCTATGCAACAAATTACATGCAAAATCTTAGGGGTTAAGCTCTATGATTAAGATAACTAAGACCCAGGGTTCACTCATCAAGGGTTAGGGTATAGTATCATGCCCACAAATCCGGTTAATTCGTGGTCCAGATAGCATTTTCTTACTTAGAGTATAAGATCATGCTTAGATATTGACAATAGATGTGGCATTACACCAACAATATGAAGATATTAGTATAAGTAGTGGATTTTTTTTTATCTCAAAACAAACACCAAAGATAAATAAATTTTAGCAAATGCATATTTGATAAGTTAGAAAATTATACAACAATGGACCATGTTAAGATTAGAACCCTTGACAGTGTGTGAGTATCTTGGACCGAGATTCTAAACCAACATTTAAACAACGACCATGAGTTGAGGGTGAGTCTATATTAAACTTCAGGAATTAACAATTGGTACATATTGTATAAGATATTAAATTGAGTGTCTTGATAGACAAATATGATCTTACACTAAGACAGTAAAATTTCAATTGGGATGACCAAATCTATGTAATATTGAGAGTCTTGGTACATATTAAGTTGTCTTCATCTGAGCAACATCATTGGTTGAGAGTTCCTCCAAACTCGACATTCATTGAATGGCATATATTGTATAAGACAAAAAAAATTGAGTATCGTTATTGACAAATCTTGACATAAGATTCTATATGGGACGTGATATATCTTTGTGACATGATTTATGATCAATGAATCGAAGCATTATAAGTGAATGTGTTAAGTATTGAGAATTTTTAATTTATAGACGCACCGCATACTCACCAAGGAATGCAAATGTAAAAAATTTAGAAGATCCAAAATAGTTTAAACATATAGATAAATTGATTAATGTAAATGGTAAAATTAAACTCACCGGCCAACAGACCGGGTAAAAAGCTAGTAGTCTTATAGGACATTACTATTTGGTGAGTGAGAATATATCATGAGTCATCTTATATCAATAGCGTTAGTCAATTGCACGCTATTTCACATTATATATCATATAATTAATTGTTTATTGATTTGATTATATGTGACTAAATTAGTTTTGAACTACACACCAGTTTATAGCACATGAAAGGATCCAAGTTCTCTTGCCACCATATATAAAACAAATAAAGTTATGATAGTAAGGTAAATTATCCTTTAAACTTTAAATTGATAAATTCATAACCTTGCAGTCCATCAACAAATACAACAAGCAAACAACAAACTTTTAATTTCATAATGGACCATATCCACCACAAATCCTTGATTTTTCAAATACTTCATTTTAACAAATGCCTCATTTTCCCAAATCCAACAAGCAAACGACTTCTAAGGCATTGTCTATAGTAAAACTTATTGTAAAATGAATCATTTCAAGTATGATATATGGTTAACACCCTATTTTGTCCTGAAGTTTAGTGCAAGTGTCAGTTTTGGCCCGAATTTTCGAATAAGACAGTTATGGCCTACTTTTCAAATTATTGGACAGATTTGGCCCCATGTTTGGGTTGACCACTACAACTGATGGTCAAACATTTATTCAATCAGCGACTCAACATTCCGTGCAAAGGTGGCAGCGACATGACTGGCGCATCATTTCCACATAATTTATTTGTTGAAAATGAAAAATATATGAAAATGAAAAATAAATATTTGAAGAAACAAGCAGAAGACTGGGAGCCTTCTTCTACCCCTATTATTTGGTCGCAAATAACACTCTGTTCCAATCTCCCATCCCCTTCTACCATCCCACCTCACCATCACCAATCTCACATTCATCATTTCCCCCAAATCATCCTCCACCTTCCCATGCATCTAGGGCTGTCGGTTCGGTTCGGGTCGGGTAACCGAACCCGAAACCCGTGAAAACCGAAAAACCGAACCCACCCCCTCACAAACCGAAACCGAACCCGAAATACATTCCTGTGGGTTTCGGGTACTGGAACCCAAAATTGATGCTGGCGAGTTTTGTTCGGTTCGGGTGAAACCGAAACCGAACCGGCCATTTTTTTTTTCCCCCTTCTTCCTTCCGTCCCCTGCTGCTACTTCTGAGAGAATGGAGTTCATGGAGTTATAGCAGCAGAAGCAGCAGTACCCAACAAAACCAAAACAACAGGGTAGCAAAATATCAAAGACAAATGGATCCCTTCAATTCCTGGCTGCTTTCTCGTTACCTGGTTGGGTAAATCATGAATGGTTTTGACTGTTATTCTGCTTCTTCTTCTTCTTCTTCTTCTTCTTCTTCTTCTTCTTCCAGTACACGCCATTAACAGCCATCTGGTTCAGAATCATCAGTCCCTTTTTTTGGAATGGGTAAATTTCTGACTCTCTCTCTCTCTCTTCCTCTGTTTCTTTTCTCAATTCTGGAGGCTCCACCACCGCCGCCATGAATGGCGCCCAAAAAAATTCCCCCCCAAAATCCCTAATCCGCAACCAAAATCCCCCGCAATTCACAAACCCAACCGAACCAAAACCAGATTCAATTCCCTTCCGACCCTAAAGCTCCAAAGCCCTCAATTCCTCCCTTTCTCTCTCACTTGCACCAAAAACTCCCACCAACAGAACCCTGCTATGTCAATGTTATTCTCAATCGCCCACCAACAGACCTCTTCCTCAGAACTTCCTCTTCGAGAATCTTCTGCCAGACTTGCTTAATCTTGTCGAACTGCCTCTCTCTAGCTGTTGCTCTCTGTTTTAGCTTCCATACTGACAATTCGCGCTAACAAAGAAAACGAGTGTCTTTTGAAAGCTCTGGTCCCAAATTGGTTCCCAAGTTTTGGCGCATGCAGAGTCTGAGGGAGATTGGAGGAGATAGATCAAACCCATCTCTGGAATAATATCATCCACCACCCACCACCACCACAAATTGATCAAATTGATCAATCCCACCCACCACCACCACAAATTGACTCAACAGCAAGCAATCAGAAAGCAATCAAAGGCAGAAGCTTACTGGGAATTCGTTCAACCCCAGATTGAGATGCGTCAGGTTCTTCATTGCCCCAATCTCAACTGGTAACGAATCCGTGAATCCATTGCAGGAAATGTCAAGAACCAGGAGCTGGCCCAGCCTCGTCTCGCTCTGTTTCGGCACAGAATAATAGGGGAAGGATTTGATGGCAGTCTGGCGGTGAGGACGATGATGGCGGCGCGGTGGAATGGAACGAAGCGAAAGAGACGGCGACGGCATGAGGTGAAGGCTGAAGGGCTGAAGAAAAAACCCTACATTCGGTTTTTCGGTTTCTCTCTCGGGTTTCGGGTTTATGAAACCGAAACCGAAACCAAAAGTCACGGGCCGAAACCGAAAAAACCGAACCCATATACACTGCTGCCGGTTCGGGTTCGGGTTAAACCGAAAACCCGAAACCGTTTTGACAGGCCTACATGCATCCAAACTCCCAACCAATCACCATCCTCAAATCCATCTCCTTCACCGTCACCACCTCCCAAACCCTCGTTGTCATCGTAACTAGTAGCACTGAAAAATCCAAGTCGGCGAATTAAAGAGGAACTTCTATCCGGAAATTAAAGTGGCGGAACACCAGATGGTGGTTGATTAGAAGAACAAGAAGCTTGTTGTGGAAGCGCTGAGACAACAAACTACAAACTCCCACAACGATTATGAAAATCATTGAGGCTGAAATTGGGAAAGCCGACACATCTGAAATTGAAATAGACTCCTCGGTTGGTGAATGGGTGGTTAACGAAGGAAGGGAGAGTGGCCTGGATACGAAGACGACGCCGACATTGAGGAGGGCAGGGGACTGTGACGGGTCGTTGACGAAAGAAACGACGTCGATGTTGGAGAAGGCAGGTGACGCAACGCCGATGTTGAAGGTGGCGAGTGATTATGTCAGGTCGTTGAAGAAGGAATCGATGTCGCCGTTGATGAATCCAGGGAAAGCGACGCTGGTGTTGGTGATTGCGAGTCTGCTACTTTGTGCAACGAAGGAAGACTAGGTAGAGGAGTGGGAAGAAGGCCAAAAATTAGGGATTTTGACCGACAATTATTTTTTTGGTCTTCACTTTTTCTATTTTAATTTGTTCTTTTGTTTTTAATTTTTTCAAACTATTAAATAAATTATTATTCAATGATGTGATGTCATGCATTAGCCACATCATTAGTTTTTTGTCGAGTCATTAACAGTGAGAATGTTTGACCGTTAGTAACGTTCAATCCAAATGTCGGGCCAAATTTGTCCAATAATTTGAAAAGTAGCCCACTACTGTTTTATTCAAAAATTTGGGCCAAAACTGACACTTACGCTAAACTTTGGACCAAACTAGAGCATTAACCCTTGGCACTTACTCTAACCTTCGGACCAAACTAGAGTGTTAACCCTATGATATAAGACAATATGATTTTCCCAAGAGAAACACGGTTTGAGTAAGAGGAAAACACGACCATGTTCCGATAATAAGAGATCGTGTAACTTATGCCAAGAAGGAACATGACCAGACTCCAAACATGGCCACGATCGTGTTTTACCCTGAAGGTTCTCATGTTTCACCTTGAAGAACTTAACCGAAACGATGTGATTGAAGAAACACGAGCTAGAGCTAAAACACGGACATGGAACACGATCATGTTTTGGCCAGCTGTTGGGTTAAGTGCAAATTTTTGGATTTTTTAGAGGGGTCCTACTTTTGATAGCAGAAACAGAGTTCTAAGAGAAAGTGATGGAGATAAATACCTTAGAGCTTATTTGAGCCCCCAATCCACCATCGGAGCTCGAAGTTTGTTCCTTGGAGTGCATATTGACATCTTGGAGCAGATCATCATCATCTTTACATGACTACTTCGAGCATGGTTTTCCTCTCTCTCGATGGAGTGATCTTCTCTCTCACTTGAGTATGAAGAACCCTAGTTCCATGTGTTAGGAGAAGGATTGTATGAACCATTGGATTGTTGAATTGATTTGTTATATTCAACTGAGGCATATTTAATAATTTATTGAGTCTTGGTCACATTCCTTTTATTCTTGCTTTTACCTAGGAGAGATAATATCTTATTGGGTTAAGAGAGCAACCTTAATTGGAGCCGGTAATGAATTGATTGCACTAATAATGAATCAATTCATCAGTACAGAGCAATGAATTGATTCATTCCAGTAGAGGAGGTCTATTTGCATTGCCTTGGCATTTTCGTTCGGTTCAGGATAATCTCCCATCATCTAATCTGTTTAAGAGAGCTTCGTCTACTTTACTCGAGATTCCAAGCAATATCAGACCTTCTAGTGTATAATTATCAATGAACTTAACTCTAAGGTAAATTTCAACTTTGACCTAACTACGGACTAGGTGGGCACATACTTGAGTGACCTTTCTTGCATCTGAAATTTAATAAACTTTCGTCGCTTTGTTCACTTAGCTTTAGTAAATGTCATTATAACTGCTTTGCTAAATAAAAGATAATTCACTAAGTAATAGTACATCTAGGGACTTCAGGCTGACTTTATTGCACTATACTACTCCATGATCTATGGTTACACTTGGCCACTGATTAGAGTGTTAGTAAAAGCGAGTCATAATGCGATCTTATAGGCTGATTAGAGGTGAAATCGTTTGTGTGGTTCAAAGTATCATTTTTTTTCTTCCCACTATTCATATTTGTAGAAGTCAATACATGGACAATAAGGGGAAACACATTTTTAGGGGTTTGCAGAAGTCAATACATGGACAATAAGGGGAAACACATTTTTAGGGGAACGTGGCTAGTTTCACTCAGCTGATCTACTTTTGATTCAATTGTATCCACATCAATGCATTCGTACTCTTTATTACCAACTCAATTTTTTTCAAATTAACTTTCAATTGCATATGTAATTAAATATAATATTTAAATGATAGAAAAAAGATAAAGAAAAAAGATAAAATTAAAAATCTCCATTTTTTAGGGCTTTTTGACTTGCATAGGAATTGCATTTGTTGCAAGTTTGCAAATATGCAATTGATGGCCACATCAATGCAATTGATTTTGCAATGCAAAACACCCATGACATGTCATCTTGCAATTGAAAATACAATACTATTGTAGATCGTCTTAGGCTGTTTGCTAGACGTGCTCAGACACTATGCAGGTCAAAACGCCTTAGAGCATCCACATTGGTATTGCATTTTCAATTGCAATATGACATAGCATGGTTGTTTGCAATTGTAAAATCAATTGCATTGATATGGCTACCAATTGCATATGCAAATAAAAAAGGTCTTAAATAGTGGATAATTTTATTATTTTCTTTTCTTTTATTTTTTTCATATAAATATAATATTTAATTACATATACAATTGCAAGTTAATTGCATTGATTTAGGTGAATTAAAGTGATTTGAGGTGAATTGCAAAAAAATTGAATTGGCAATAAAGAATACAAATACAATTATTTTTACAATACATTGATGTGGATGTTGTCACAAAAATCCTAGATGGTGAAAAGGTGTTTCGAATGATTCAATGGCAACGAGCTGCTCCTAGGCGTACAAGGCAACGCTTAAGCGGAATAAGGCAGTGATTAGGATGAGATAGTCAAATTGTGGAGTTGTATATCAAAAATTAAAGGGAGTTGCTAATTGTCACTCTGATTTAATTATATCGCCCTAACTTACAAGTAATTATTCCATTTTTACCCTTTGCTTTTTTATTAAAAAATATTTTATTCAACATAGTACAAAACTCCCATTAGCCACTATCTTTATTTCACTGTCGGCGGTGTTGCACCATCGCCGCCACCTGCCAAATCAAATGGAATAATAAAAATAAAAAAATCCACCACCGCCGACCTAATCCTTCAGACCGCCATCCACCCAGTGGAGGAAAGGAACCCGAGAGTCATATTTTCCAGACCGTCGGCGTTTAGGTAGAGGTTGTCGACGCAACATTAATGTTACCACCGACGGCTGCTTTTGGGAGAGGTTGATGATGGTGGCCACGGGTAACGTGAGATAGCCAAACAAAATGTCCACTAGTTGTCTAGTTCCGCATCGGTTTCATCGAATAGTAGGAAAGAAGGGACGGTGAAAGTGTTTGGAGAGGCCGATAGTGTTTGAGGAAGGATTAGGGATTTTAGGATATTTGTTTTTTGAATTTAGTTTATTTAATGGACATTCTAGTAGTTTTGCGTTTTAAATTAGGGCGATAATAGTAAAACAAGGGCGACGTTTAGTCGTCCAGAAATTAAAACTTAGACAAAATGGACAAACAACATCGTAGCCTGAATTCAATCTCTCTCTCTCTCTCTCTCTTAAGCTGCTAGAGCTAGTTAGGAGCAACAAAAAAAATATTTGAATATGTTTTGACTAGGATAAGGGAGGAGATGTTATGACAACAAGTATTGTTGTTGATGTGATGAGAACTAGCGAACAATTTTAACTTTTTTGGAGTGCAAGAGTGAGAAAGCTTCCTGCTAAGTAATTTGAGTTTGAAGAAGAGGAGAATATTGAGGAGATTGAGAGGATGGTAAAGATGAAGTGGTGGCTAGAAGGAAGGAACTATTTGGATAATGAATGATGAACTTGTTGTTAAGTGATTAGCTTGTGTTCCTACTTCCTATGAATTTTTTAATCTAGAAAATTGTGAGATAATTTGTTGTTGTTAACTGTTAACTAAAATACAAATAATTTGAATTTAAGTGTGAAACCAGTTGGTTCCATAATTAATCTCCTTTCAACAACTTGAGTTACTGAGACCAGTTGGTTTATGACATGGTATTAGAGTTGTTTTGTCATTGAGATAACGTGTTCAGATCCTCACGACCTCTAATATTAATCGGTACCTTACCTCACATGGTATGACGAGTATGTGCAAACTTCAAGCCCATAAGTTGGCTTTCGTTTAAAGGGACATATAAGAAACTGAATAATTATACAACTTGCTTTCATACATGGACCTCTCCTAACGACTCAAATTATTGGAAGGAGATTAATTACACATGTTATACTTATTGATTCCAAGTCTCTTTAATCAATAGGCTTGAAGATGGTTTTTCAAATCTCCACATAAAGCCTTCTGCTTCTTTTTACACCGAAGTCACCAACTACATATGCAAGTGTCGGGTGAAAACATATGAACTATGTTGAAAAATATTGAAGTTATATAATATTTGGTGGATCTTCGAAATCCCTCTATAATATATAGCCGTTCTTCACGAGATTTTGAGCATTTCAAATTCCTTGCACTCTCCTTAATTGTAGCTATGGGTAAATTTGTAAGTTCAACTTAGAACTTAAATATCTTCTTACGAGAAAAAAAATGCCATTACCAAGACTTGAACTCGAGTCCTTCAGATTGATAGTCAATATCCCTAACCAACTGAACTACAACAATGTTTATGTATTTTTTGAATTAAAGAGAGAAAATGCTGAAATATCTCAAAATCATACTATTATCCACTGCAACAATCAATCATCGAATTAATCCCTCTATAATATATAGCCGTTCTTTAGGAGATTTTGAGCATTTCAAATTCCTTGCACTCTCCTTAATTGTAGCTAGGGGTAAATTTGTAAGTTCAACTTAGAACTTAAATATCTTCTTACTAGAAAAAAAATGTCATTACCAAGAGTTCTTGAACTTGAGTCCTTCAGATTGATAGTCAGTATCCATAACCAACTGAACTACAACAATGTTTATGTATTTTTTGAATTAAAGAGAGAAAATGCTGAAATATCTCAAAATCATACTACTATCCACTGCAACAATCAATCATCGAATTAATAAATAACTGTAATTATTTACAAAGCGAGTTCCTCTGATCACACAATTCTTCACCAAGAATCAAATAGTATATTTTGAGTTTATGTATGTCTTACAACTTTTACATTTATTAGGTTACATGACTTTGCAGTTCGTAGGAATACAATGATTGTTTACAAAAGTGCTATACAAAATTTTATTTCAAAACATAAAATTTGACATTTGTGATATAGGGTTTTGTAACGAGACATTTTCAATGCTATAAGTGGATGACCAAAAATCATTGGCTAACAATTTCCCTAATGATTGACAATTATAAGCACAGAATTGAAAGACTAAATACCATTGACAAATGAGCCAATTATCATTGGCTAAATTTAACAAACAATGGCATGTTTATATACATTGGAAATTCTATGGTACGCTCAATGGATTGAGGGTTATTGCTTCTCCATAGTTAAATAAAATTATCTAGACCATAGATTAATCACGTAACTCAACCTATCATAATTCTCTAAATCCTAATATAGTGCATATGGTATGTTGTAACTCAACCTATCATAATTCTCAAAATTATCTAGACCATTGGAAATTCTATGCTACGCTCGATGGATTGAGGATTATTACTTCTCCTTAGTTAAATAAAATTATCTAGACCATAGATTAATCACGTAACTCAACCTATCATAATTCTATAAATCCTAATATAGTGCATATGGTATGTTGTATACATCTTAGCGAATCAGGATCATTGATTATGTTCTTCGTATATGTGATATTAGGTTTAAGTTCTATAGATTTAGGATATATGATTTAATTATCTGAAACTTATTCTCGCTTTTCAAATTTCTTGCAATGAGAGGAAAATTAGGAAGGACATTTTGTCTTCACAATTATGTGTATTTTTTATTTATTTACAGAATAAGATAGACATATTGAGATTTGAACCATGGTCACTTCAAACAAAGTGAAGGTTTAAAATCAATCAAACTATGTAGATTTGTTGTATTTTTTTAAATTAAAAATATATACGAAGCTAAAATATGAAATCACATAACTTTTCAACAGTTAGCTAGCCCAATAAATATTCCGTAACTACTTTTTGGTGTTTTGATACTTCAATTTTGATATTTTTTATTTTAATTATAGTATAATATTTAATTTAAAATTTTATCTATCTTATAAATATATGATAACCATAAATTTGCAACCAAAATATTGTTGGTTCGAATATTTCATATCTAATTATAGTATTGAATATGTAGAAGCGATATAGAATTCTTAAATTACCATTAATTTCCAGGACTATAGTGAAGCAATCATATCTTTGTGCAAACTATAGGGGACTGGTTCTCTGAACATTTTTGTCCGGTTAAATACTAAGTTTTGAAACTCTTCCTAGGGGTGTGCGTGGGTCGGTTCGTTTGGGTTCAGATATTTTAATCACCTAACTCATATAACACGATTTTGAAAACACAAAATACAAACTCACCCAAATAATTTAGAATTTTAATGGTTTGTGTCCTCCATACCAAATGAACCAATTTACATGTTGCTTACCTAAGGACGATCTCATTGTCCAATCCCATCATTCTAATGTCAATCCATAAAAGTAACTCATATTCGCGTTTGTTAATACATGTTTCACATTGTCATTACTGTGACCGGTAAATTCGCTGCAACTGGTTCGGTATTGCTCATCATATGGCCTCCAAACTAATAAACATATCGGGCCAGCAGTTTTATGACAAAACTCAAAGTGAAGACAACTCATCGTCTGGTGGAATTTTGACACTTGGAGTAAAATTAAGCTTTCACGCAACACACTTGGAGTAAAAGTTGATATTGGGTTTGGGAAGGGAAGTGGTGAGAGGAAGAAATTGTGTTTGGATTTGGTAGCAGGTAAAGTTCATGGTTCGGTTTCTTTTCGTAAAGTGCTTTGATTTATTTTAGTTAGAGGTATAATATCATGGTTATGTGGGATCTAATGAATCAAAAATGAGCTTGGGGGATGGGAATTTCAACTTAGAAGGAGTGGATTAAATTTTGATAAACTCAACTTCATGATTAACTGAAAGAATATTCAGATTTAGACTTTGTGGTATTGAGATGTTCATAGAGAGTTTAAAACTGATCCAAGGCCATAGATTAATAATGGTTAGTTGATTTTGATTTTGAGGAAGGTGTATAAAAAGTCATGGAAGTAGTTTGCAGCAAGTGAAAGCAGTAAAGATGCAGTTGGTCAGGGTAGTGATTGAAACAAGGAGGATATTGAAAGACATAGAAGCCAAATCGAAGCAGTTGAAGAGAGAGAAGGGGTAGATGATCAGGGTATTAATGAAGATGGAGAGGGTATTGAAGGACATGGAAGTGAACTGGATCAGGTGAAGGCAGAGAAGGAGGAGAAGAGCATATTGATGGAATTGAAGATGAGTGTTGGTTTTACGAGCTTATTAAAACTGCCTCGAGGAAGATGAGTTCGCCAAATACAATAAAGAGGATTGAGTAGTTGGAGATCAAGCTGACAAAAAACTCAATTGATAGAGAAATTCAGGTTCATGGAGAGAAGGTCCATCAAAGTAGCATAAACGGAGTTGCAGAAAGAGGATTAGAAATTGAATTTTGGTTTAAAACATATACGTCGAGAGATTGAAGATGGAGGGATAAAAAGTTGGTTGTACAACGGAGAGTGGAAACTATTGGATCTTTAGGTGTTATGGTTGTTGCAACTACCACAACCTATGTTTATGTTAAAATAAGGAATCATTGATTGATTTACTAAAGTTAAGGTTGATTCACTATTCAAACTACTGGAACCTGTAGATAAGGAGGGTCTAATTTTGTGCCTCATTACTTTGATGGAGTCTATTAGTATATTGGATGTAACTCTAATTTTGTCATTTGCTCTCAAGTTTTGATGGTCAACCCCAAACCACACTGGACGCAACACAGCTTTGACCAAGACCATATCAAATTGAATCTAATATGTCTTGGACCTTCATCCTACCAATCATACAAGTTCAAAAGAAAAATGTTCTGATGGGACATTTCAATCGAACTGCATCGGATCCCACCAGATCGATTGCACTTATGGTCCAATGTTGGATTCTATGATTTGTTTCATTAATGGACCGTGTTTCTAATGAATATAAACAATCAAATATGAACATGCATAATGTTAATCGGCCAACGGGCCGAGTTATAAGCTAGTTATTATTATGGACCAGTCGATAAGACACTGTTCCCGGGGCCCATTCAGTTTATCCTCAACTGACCAACTCATTACTGATTACTCAACTCCATAACACCAAACCCAAACGCATAAACAAAAAGGGCAGAGCAGCGGAAAGACTTTTCCTTCCCTTCCCTTCCCATTTCTTCTTCTTCTTCTTCTTCTTCCTCCTCGCGTTTCAACGACGTCGACAAATATATTTCCATTCCCCTACAAGAAACACCACTTCCAACGGAGAAAAGGAGAAAGGGGCAGAAGTTGTAAGCCACCCTTAATAAGCTCTATCCCCCTCCCCCCTCTCCTCTCCTCTCCTCTTTTTTCTGTCCGAAATTCTAACACCGTCCAACACGTAGTAGTTTCTTCTTCTTTTTCTTTCTTTCTTCGGGGCTGGGCTTTTCGCTGAAGCCTTCCTTCCTCTTCCCCAAATCTCCTAATTGTTCGCATCTCCTCTCGATTTCCCCATTCCTCCCTTCCTCCTTCCAATTTCACCTTAACCATCCTGTGATTCTTCTCTGTAGCTGTTTTCTGTCGAGGAAGGTAAAAAACCCACAGATGGGCATGGCGGGGCAGGTGGTGAAAGTGAAGAGGGCGGCATTAGAGGCATGCATGACATGTCCTCTCTGCGATAAGCTACTCAGGGAAGCTACGACCGTCTCTCTCTGCCTCCATACGTGTAAGTTTTCCCTTTTTCCCCAACTCCTCATATTCCATTCTTCTCTTCGTAAAATGTTGATATGGAGGGGGGGAGTCTTCCCCTTTTGATCTGCGTTGGGTCGATGCGATTTCTGCCTCGTATGATTGTTTATTGTTTCTCGCTGCGGCTTACTCGCGTAGCATTTTCGTTATTCTGCTTCTGCGTTTTCCTCGAATGGTTTTGTTATTTTTGCTTACTTGTGGCTTGTGTGAATTGGATGCCATCCGGTTATGGAGATGAGGGAAAGGTGAAGACTGTTGCTTTGTTGCGATTCCTGAATTGGGTTATGTTCTGGTTAGGATGTTTTCATCTGGGCTCTTGACTTTTTTCACTCTCGATGCAGTTTTCTCTTTTCGCAGTAACTTTGATTCTGTGTGGAACGTACGATGACGAGCCTTAGCCTACGATATGTCTACTTTCTTTCCTTATTTTTCTTCATTATAGACTTTTCGTGTTATGGAGTGGTAAATAATGATTAATGAGAGCTTGAACTTGTATGGTAAGCTTTGAGCTTAACCAACGGCTGATGCTGGTAATGTTGCCACTGGTCGACCGTAGATTGATGTGATATGATTTTACCTCCTGCTTCAACCTTCATGGGTTGAAAGGAAAAGAACACTGTCGTGATGCTGACTGATTTGTTACTCTTTGACTTCCAAGTTTCATGATAAAGTGATAACATCTCGTTGATTATTTCTACATGGGTGTCATCGCAGCTGCTTTAGTTTGATATGTCGGATAGAGTTCGTGGATTTTGACTGATGTGGTGGTTCTAGTTGCTAGTTGCTAGTTGTTTGTTAGTCCTTGCTCCATTCCATCTTGGGATCCCAAGATTCTTTCGTTTGTCCTGAATAAGCCATGGTTGTCAAACCAACAGGAGCTAGGATTATCAGGAGACATACGATTGTCTTTCTTATAACTGCTGATTGACCTTTCTCTCGGTTATTCCCGTCTGATTCCATTCACCAGCTCTATAATGTGTTTTACATTAATTCAAACAGTTTGCAGAAAATGCATATATGGCAGACTCTCAGATGATGAAGTTGATACCTGTCCGGTATGCGATATCGACCTGGGTTGTCTGCCAGAGGAGAAACTCAGGTTAGTCTAATGTACTGTAGTTGGTGTGTCTTTAAAAAATCAGTCATTTAACTCTATGGCTTTCATATGGATGGATGCATGCATGGATTACATGATTGCAATGGCATTCTTTATCAGTTTGGACGATATGGACTTAGGATCGAAACAGCTTATGTCGCTTCTGCCTAATGTGGAACATTTTTCATGTCTCCAAGTTAGACTAGAATCTTGTGTTACATTCAATTATGTGTATAGGGGATCAGGGTTCTGGCTGCAGATGTATGGGTGCCAAAACGTTTGATTTCTTAGCTAAGCTGAAAATATCCTTCCATACTCATCTGAGTATCTCCTGTCCAAAGGTTGTTTACGAGGAAGAAGGTTTATGTTGAAGCCTGAATGTACTTTACTTAAACTGAATAGAGAATGTGATGTACCAACTGTATATTCTGTTAACCGAACAATAGAATATTGAATGATAAAGTGAATTAAGGTATAAATTGTCTTACAAAAAAAAAAATTAAGGTATAAATTGTTACCCGGATTTCGAAAGATGACCATGGAGCTGCTTGCTGTTGATCCTCTCTGAGACTTGAATTAATTTCCTTTTCTTATTTTTTGTTTCTTGTTCCCTCCAAATACATTTTGGACCTTTAGACTGATGAGCACTGTTATTTCTCGGCTTCTCTTAACATACTTGGGGTGATATTTAGCTTGCACTGAAGCTTTGCTGCCACTGCATTGGAAATATTATTCTTCATTTTTCAAAAAGAAAAAAGAAAAGGAACAACAATGGAACTAAGTGTATCTGGTTTCCCTCTTGGGTGGTGTGAGTTGTCTATACTCAGTATGTGGGTCATGATTATTATGTAGGCCGGATCACAATCTGCAAGATATAAGAGCTAAAATATTTCCATCTAAAAGAAGAAAAGTTGAGCCTGCTACCGAAGTTGTCACTTCAGTCGCACTGCCAGCAAAGAGAAAAGAGAGATCCTTATCATCTCTGGTTGTCAGCACTCCCAAAGTGCCCGTAGAAACTGGTTCAACCGGGAGAAGATCCAAACCTGGACCAAGAAAACCTTCTGGGTTACGAGGTTGTAGTTTTACCACTGAAGAATCAAACAAAGATGAAGAAGAAGATTCTGCAGAAGCAGAAGATGATCATCATCCAATCAGCTCAAGCTCCCCTGAGTCCCAGAATAAAATTCCACAAAGGAAAAGGCAGGTAAAAAGGGCTACTATTTCTACTACCTGAATTTTTTTGTGATTCAAGCTAAGTACCACACTTTGCTACTTGTTTATCTCATTTTGACCGTTTCTTAAACTGGGTGGTGGCAGCAATCCGCTGCTGCTGAGCCTTCTAATGGGCAGCAACAAATGGATGGAAATGGTGAGGATGATGGTGAAGTAGTGGAAGGGAAAGCTGATCTGTGGACACCCTTAAACTGTCTAGTTGAAGCTGCTAACAGAACCAAGTCATTGAAGTCAAACTCACAACAATTGCAGTCTGTTGCCAACTCAGAGATTTTTTCGACTGTACCTGATCTCGAATCCAGAACCCTAGATAAGCAATTGAATGTAGAGTCTCCTATTGTTGGTCAGTGTGGAGAAACATACATCCTCCATGAGAGCAAAAATAAAGAACCCGATCAGGGATTCAATGGTGAAGATGATGATAAGGGGTCAAATAATCCGACTGCACCACCAGTCAAGCGTAGAAGGTTAACAGCAGCAAGAAGGAGGGCAGCTTTGTCAGAAGAGCTCAGTGCCTCAGCACAGGCTGTACTGGATTCTACGATGAACAGGGCAAACCGGAGAAACTGCGCTGTTTGGTTCTCGTTGGTTGCCTCGGAGAAGTAATTTTCTCTAACTGTAGAAATCTAAAAGAAGCGGGAGCAGCCCACTTGGATGTGTAACCTTCTTTTTTCCTTCTTCTCTTTCATGGCTTTCAGGAGGGGAGATGCTTCACTGCCACAGATTCCTGCTTGTTACTTGAGGATCAAGTGAGTTCCAAAATCCCATTGCTTCACTACCCGTTATTGCATCAGTAATCAAATACACTCAGTTCATCTTCTACTTTCTACTTTTAAAACAATGGGACCAGGATTTACTTCGTCCTTTATATATTTTCATTCAATTTTCTCCTTTTTTATCTATTGAACTCTGAAGTTTATGGTGTCAGTTTGGTCATTTCAGACCACTCACAAATTTTTCCTATCCATGAAAAGTCTCACAATTGTGAGACCACCTAATCGCTCCAGACTCATTTACTTATTTTGATAATATTTCCACACACTTTACCTTTTACTATCTGTTTCAGTTGGCAACTTCTCCAACTGACATCCTACTCATTGAATCTAAGTATCTAACCGAGCCTTAACTTGTGACGTTAGACACTTAGATGTTGACTTTCTGTTGGGGTTATGTGGGAACAATGGCAGGGATGGTAAAATGCCAGTGTCATTCATTCAGAAGTACATTGTGAAGAAACTTGAGCTTAGCAGTGAGGCTGAAGTAAGTTCATATTATGTTTTGTCTGATTATGCTTCTCCATGGAAGGAGTGATCATGAGGATAGTTTGTGTTAGTTAGTTAGTTCGTTAGTTGATTAGTTAGTTGATTGAAGGCTGATGTGGCAGTGGCGGTGGTTGTGACAGGTGGAGATAATGTGCCAAGGACAGCCGGTGGTTCCAACGCTGCAACTGCACAACTTGGTGGACTTATGGTTCAGGAATGCATCGACCAAGAGAGTGGAAGTACCTGTGGGTTCTTCTGCCAGGGACTTTGTAATGGTCCTGTCTTACTGTCGTAAGCTCCAGCAGCAGGCTTCTTAGAACGTACCCCTACACATAGTTTTAGTGCCATCCTTCTGTTGTTCCTGCTTTACTTACTCTCATCCTTTCTTTTTTTGTTTTCTTTTCCCCCATAGTTTACGAAGTATACAAGTGTAAGGTCTATGATTAAATTTATTATATTTGTTAGTCACTTCAGTTCTTCATGTAATGTTCCTTTCTCTACGTAGGGTGATACAGCAGTTGTTTGAGACTGGTATGCAATGTGTAGTCGTAATCTTGTAATAATCCAATTACGAACAAAAGCAAATGCATTATTGTTGAATATGTTCATTCAGTTGAGGTACCCAACATGAAACCCAGGCTTTTTTCAGACACGCCAAGGAACAGACGAATAGTAAAGAATAAAGCAATCTATCGAATTGCATTCATTAATCGCTTATGTACTAATTTGTATTTACTTTGTTTGCGGTACATAGATACAAAAGAATCAGAAGCAACTGATTGTTGCTTCTTCTATGGCACTGCCACACTGATACATTGAAAAAATTCAGCGCGGTAGCCTACTCTGGGTTCCAACAATGAAATGGAATCCCATGTCGTGACTTTACATGTCAAAATTCTAACTTCAGATATAACTCTCTGTGTACAATTGAGGAAAATGGAAGCAAAGAATCAAGCAGCATCAGCTTTGGCCCACTTCCAGACGCTGACGACACCATTTGCGTCCCCTGTGAAAAACAAACCGTCAGGCCCACTTCGAATTGCTCTTACTTCCTTCTGTGAGTAAATCCTTCCACGCTCTTCGAGTGTTGGCAACTCGTATAACCCAACACTACAGTTGCTCCACGAACAGAACAAGACTGGTTTTCCTTCGGAATCATTCATCCCACCAAGAGCAACTGCAGCACTTTCCTCTTCATGTGTGTACAAAAGGCTTATATCATCACTGTCATCTTCAGCGCAACCCCAGAACTTGACCTTCTTATCCAGTGAGCAAGACACCAGGGCCGTATTCCAGCAGATAACAGACGTCACAGCACCATCGTGTGCCTTGAGTGTTTGAATGCACTCCTCGGTGTTCAAATCCCACACCTTGATTGTCCCATCCATCGAACCAGAATACAATCTTCTATACAAATCACCATTTATGCTAGCTCTGAGGCAAGTAACTGCACTTCCATGGCCTCTTAGGGAAGTAGCAGGCTGCTGAAATTGGGGATTGGCCTGCTGATCAGCAAATCCTTTCCAAACCAAAATTGCACCATCTTCAGCTCCAGCATACAAGGCATCCAACCCAAACTCCAAGGCATTGACTTGACCATTTGAACTTGTGAGGTCATGATAAACCCCTAATTTAAAGTTCCATGCTTTGACACCATTGGGGTAACCAACAAACACCCAATCTCCATCGCTGATCAAACATCCGATCTTGTAGTCACTAACATTCGCAGTCCCGGCAAGCAAACCAGTATGGCAATCCCAAGCACGTACCACTCCACCACTGGTTGCTGAATATAGCTTGTCAGATCCTGCAGGATACCCAATCCCAGAAATAGACTTCTTTTCAACGTCACGCTCTTCTTCAACTAGTCTTGCTAACATTGAAAATCCATCTCCACGGCACCATGAGTGTAGGAATTGACAGCTCTCCCCTCTGCCACAATTTCCAGACATCCAATCTTGACAACAAGCAGCCTCCTTCTCTTCAGAGCGTTCACTAGCAGTGGGGACGACAACTACAGCAGCAGCTTCTGCTTCTGGCTTCGGAGAACTAGCAGTCTCCTTCTCTTCAGTGCGTTCACTAGCAGTGGGGACGACAACTACAGCAGCAGCTTCATCTTCTGGCTTCAGAGAACTAGTAGTGCTTTCAGCAGCTGGTTCAGATGGGGATTGAGATGGGAGTTCGAGATCAACAGATCTCTCTTGACTCTTCTGGGATGTGGCAGCAACTACCTCAGTGCTTTTGGTTCTCTTGGAGACCCTATCTTCTTCAGGGGATGATAGCTTCCTCCTCAGAACACCAGGAGCCAAAGCTTGAGTCTTTTGAGTTTGAGGTGCACGATAGACATTGGAACGATGACAATTCGAAGATGGCGGCAGAGGTTCCACCACCTTCGTTGCAGCCGGCTGCGGATCTCCGTGCACGAACCTACAAGGGTTTCTGTTACACCTTCCTTGTCTCCAGTAGCGACACACACTGCTGCGACTACTCTTCATCGGCATTCCTTCTCCAGCTGCTTGTGGATTACGGATCATCACCATCCTTGCACTGAAACAAACAAAGAACGCGGCGACAGAGTAAACACACGGACGAAACCCTAACGAAGAAAACCCTAAAAGCACCCGGCGACAGAGCGGACGAACGACGAATCGGAATATCGGCGATCTGAAGAAACCCACCTGAGAGACCCCGATCGACAAAATCCAGAGACGAAAGGCGATCGATAGACGCTTCCGCAAACCCTAGAGCTTCAACGAACGGGTTGCGACACCTTCGGCGGCCGAGAGAACGCACACGAATCGCGATTCAATAGAAACTGGGTTCTGAAACCCTAACGATGGCGGAGAGAATTTGCGAAAGAAAAGAGGTGAGAGAGAAAAAGGAGTGAGAGTGATTGTGAGATTTGGCTGATGGTAAGGTGGTTTTATAATGTACTCAACAATGCGAGGTCGGTGATTGCCTCCGACGGTAGAGCAGGGTGTGTGCTTTCCTAAAGCAGTTAGGACGGCGGGAGTTTCCTTCTCCGAGGCGGGTTCGGATTTCGCTGCTCCTTTTCCTGCTCGGTTACTGAATGCAATAGATAGTTGATACTTGCAGAGAAAGTAATGTGATTCAACTTTCAAGTTATTAATAAAAAAGGCTTCCTAATTATGACATTATTATAAGTTCATGTTAAGTACTTAGGGGGAAAAATATGTTAAGCATTGTTATATTTGAGAAATTAGTGGATTATATGGTCGAGAATATTAAAAGATATTGGAAAATGGTTAATTTTTTCATAAACCAACATTCTTCGTGCTGCTACACTAGTTTCTCTAGGTCATATATAAACACAAAAACTAGCAACTCAAAACAAGGTGAGTACGGATATGCATATAGGAGAATGCAACACTATCAAAAATTTTGAAAATTTTAGCTTTACAAGAAGAATAGTGTCCCCAAGATTTAGAAAATTTATCGACGTAGTAAAAATATAATCAAAAGAAATCGTACTATCAAACCCACCCTAGAGTTTAAAATGGACAATGTGTAGATGAGTTTTAACTTCCTATATTGCCTTATTAATTGGTATTCATACCTATGTACATGTTGTCACTACAAGGAAGTGGCTCGGTTATCTAGAAATAGTATGCAAGTTACATCATAGATTGTTGTCATGATTATCGTTTACAATCATTAACTATACATGTATTTTGCCATTGGTGATCTCATAGCTAGGGCTGCAAATGAGCCGAATCGAGTCGAGTTTTACCCCAGCTTGAGCTCGGCTCGTTAATAAACGAGCTGAGCTCATCGAGTCGAGCTCGAGCTAGCTTGTTTATTAAAATCTTAACTTTTATTTGGTACTTCATTTTGTATATCATGATACATATGATTTATTTTGTTAGTTAATCTCATCTTATACTTTATACTTTGTTGGTATCATATATCAATTAGTTAATAAATTTTAACTACTCCAAATCATGTTATTTCATTGTATCGAAGCAATCTATTATGCATAATTTCTTTTTAAAGTAGAAAATAAGATATATTTGCTCACATACTCAACGTGCAAAACTTTATATAGGGTGAGATATATAAATTAACAACCATATGAATTAAAATCATAAGATATAGATTGATTCGTCCATAAGTTGGTAATCGAGTTGGCTCTCTAGCCACATGTTAAGACATATCATGATCTCTAAACGAGCCAGCTCACGAGTTTAGCTCAACAAGCCACCGACTCGAGCTAGCTTGCGAGCTTCACAAGCTGAACAAAGGTGAGCTCGTGTTCTGCTCGTTTATTAAAGAGCCGAGTTTCGAACGAGCTTTTCTCGAGTCGAACGCCGAGCCGCTCGCGAGCAGCTCGGCTCATTTGCAGCCTTACTCACAGCATATGAATAATAATTTCTCATCATCTCATAAGCACAAATAGATACTATAATCAATGTCAATAAACAATAAAGATAGAAAACAACTCATGATATATTATCATCCACACATCATGAAAACAATCTTTCGGCCCTGTAGGATTCACAAACCTACACAACATAAAGTTCTAGCCACTCATGTTCAAAGGAAACCGTAAAAAGATCAGTTTGTAAGATATTAGACCTCTAAAACAATTGCTCTTTTCTCAAAATGGAGCCATGATCGTTGTTTTTGTCATCGTTTTTCTCTCTTTGAGTTATGAACAAGTTCTGTCTCTGGAGTGCTATGGCGGCAGTGAAACTCCTCTCTCAAATTGTTCCAATTGGAGCTCGATTGGTCCATTTATATGCCAGAAATCAGGGTTTTCAAGAGGGTTTTTCAAGGAGAAAACATTTCAAAACTACATATGTTTATATTTTCTCTTGCTTGGTAACAAAGGATGGAATTTCGATTAGTTGGAGTGAGAATGATCCTCCTTACTAAAATGACTTACTGACGGATCTGACGCCATTTAGACTTCTGACAGACAATTCAGGCCGGAATTTTGGGCTTGTTAGTCTACTCAACTTCTTTAGGCCATATCTCGCTCATCCGACCTCCGAATCCTTTTCTATATAAGCCCTGATGCTCGTAGTCTCGTCCTCTCTAATTCCTTAGCTTGAAAATATCCAAATCTATCTAGTGGAATGCTCTTGAAAATGGTTTCGTTGCGTTGGTGCCTCAAGTACCACCGAACAACGCCAGACTAAAGCCTCGACTCTTTGTCCCCCAAGTGCGTCGAGGACCAATTTGCAAAGCTAATTTCCATAGTAAGCAGGTTTTCCTTCAATCGTACTAAATTTCATACCTATTTCGCTAGAGGGAAGCTCCGGATAACACGTTATGCTGTCTCGGGCTCGGCTTCACAAAGCGGGCAGGTGTCAGCTGTAGTGAGATGACATCTCTTCCTCCCGTTGTTGGTCAGGACACGGTCGTGGCTAGCCAGCTAGAGGAAGTGTTTGATGCGATTGGGTCCATGCCACCTCCACCTCAGATTCCACCTTTGCTTCTCATGCTCTTGAAAATGCTCTTGAAAATGGTTTCATTGCGTTGGTACCTCAAGTACCACCCAACAACGCCAGACTAAAGCCTCGACTCTTTGTCCCCCAAGTGCGTCGAGGACCAATTTGCAAAGCTAATTTCCATAGTAAGCAGGTTTTCCTTCAATCGCACTAAATTTCATACCTGTTTCGCTATAGGGCAGCTCCGGATAACACGTTATGCTGTCTCGGGCTCGACTTCACAAAGCAGGCAGGTGTCAGCTGTAGTGAGATGACATCTCTTCCTCCCGTTGTTGGTCAGGACACGGTCGTGGCTAGCCAGCTAGAGGAAGTGTTTGATGCGATTGGGTCCATGCCACCTCCACCTCATATTCCACCTTTGCTTCTCATGCTCGTTGATTGGGTCATCATCACTATTCCTTGAATGCTCCATCATCGTCATACAAGCTGATCTGAGGTGGGTAGGTATTTCAAATTACTCACAATATATTATTTCAATTGTTCCACATTTCATTTGTTTTTTTGTCAAAATGCATTATTTCAACCGAAGACGTTTATTAGTCTCGTTACGCGCATTGGGGTTGGCTATGAAAGTGGGGGCTCTTTTGGTAAATGGGTAAATTTCAAGTTAGGTCACTAGAATTACTATAAAACTTCACGCTTGCCAATGAGATTAATTTATTCCATTCATGGTCACTTAAATTAGTTATATAGTCCAAGTTTGGTCACTCTTCGTTAGTCTCCGTTAACTTTATATGACGTGGCAGTCAACTTTAAAAGTTGACCGTTAAATAAGTGACGTGGCAATTAAAAAATAAAAAAAAATTATTTTTTATAATTTCAACCTCATCCCTCTCCTCCTTCGGGTCCACCTTCCGCCGTTGTCGTGAAAAGCGCACTCCTCTGCAGCCTTCCGTCGACCTACGGTTGACGCCACCAAGTTTGGTCAGCTCCCTTACACCGTCTCGGTCGTCAACTCCATGCTCTGCTCCGCCCAGGGGCAAACCCAAGGCCATTTGCGAGTGTCCCAGGACACCCCTAAATTTTGGAAAATCGATTATCCAACCCCCGGTGGTAATTTACCTATGGATAAAGATGTTATAATTAATAGTCCGGGACATCCTGAAATTTGAAAAAACGATTATCCTCCTCTTGTTTGTAGTTTGCGTATGGGAATATATGTGGTAGTTTGGGTAATTCATACACGGGACACTACTATTATTAATAAATATAATTTTCATTAGACTACAACTTTTTTGTTGTTCTATTATAAACATTGTGTAATAGCAAAACTCTATTCTCTATGTTTAATTATATTCAAAAACTAACAATTAATCTTATTACAAGCTACCCTGAATTTGTATTGATTTTATGGTTGTACGACAAGTGTTGAAAGTGTCATTTTAGCTTTGAGTTACATCAAGAACAAATTTAGAAGTCGAATATGTGTTAGTTCGTGAATGATTGTCTAGTATAATATATCGAGACAAATTTGTTGAGCAGTGTAGACACCAAGTGTATTTTACAATTTATTCAGAATATAAAAATATATCATAAATTTTGTTTTTTTTTTATAAAAGATAATCATGTATTGATTCAAAAATAGGTAGCTACATCCTGGAGTTCAGCCAGGCTTGAAAATCAAAGAAACGACTCATAGTCGAGTACAAAGAGAGGCTCTTTCTAGCCACCAAGTGGGCTACCCTATTACTACTCCGACCTACAAATCGAACACTAAATCTGGGGTAACTGGAGAAGCCCAACACCACTTCCTTCAAAATCGCACCCAATCGGTTGTCCCTTACATCGGCATGTCTGATCTTATCGATGATCACCTTGGCATCCCCTTCAAAACTTACATATGTGAATCCATGATCCAAACACCACAGCAGTTCCTCACGGAGGACTAGCAGTTCCACCACCATGGGATCACCAATAATCGGAAATCGAACCCCTTTCACCAGAAAGACTTCCCGTGTAGGGGTCATAAGAACCAACCCGCTCGCCGAATGAGAACCGCTCCTAGTAGCCCCATCCCACATACAAACAACCCCAGTATGAACCATCAGACCCAGTGGTTGTTGTACCGTAGGATCAGCAGTCTGAAGAGCTTTATCCACCGTCAGCCGCACCCATTCCTCATATTGCTTGGCAAACTGGCGCATCAATGCAGGGATCCCAAACTGCTTACCCTCAAAGACCACCCAGTTTCGAGACCGCCAGATCCGCCAAAGGACAACAACCATTGCCATGAAAAGCATCGGCCGCTGAATTAAGGCCATCAGCTTCTTAAGAAATAGAGGAAAGGTATGACGAGGAAGCCCCTCCCCTAGGTACTTCAGCCCCAAATAACCCCTCAAGGCCCACGCCACTAGGCAATCCAGAAACAAATGCTCCAATGTTTCCGGACTCTCCCAGCAAACCGAGCAATGCGGATGCACCGGGACCTTCTTGCCAATGAGGGCTTCCGTTGTTGGCAAGACTCGATTGAGGAGCTTCCAAACGGACACCTTCAATTTGGGGGGAATATTCGTCTCCCACAACCGAATCCAGCTTGTCTTATCCATCCAGCTAGTCGTAGCCTTCCAGCGACCCCTCCTCCTATCAAGGGAGACAACCAAGTGATAGCAGACTTAACAGAAAAGACCATGTCTGCAGTATCATGCCAAACGATCCTATCCTCCACATTTTGTTGCGGGAGGGGAATAGTTTTAATAATACCGCACGTAGGTGGATCAAACCACTGGCTAAGTTTGAGATCACACCACCGCCCTTCCCCATGACAAATTAGCTCAGCAACTAGTGGGTCACCCCCTATCGACAAAACCAGTGGATTATATCGAGGGGGATCCACCTGGAGTTTAGGGATTCAGAGGGAATGCAACAGATATGCCGATCGCGCATTCCCAGTTTGCCATCTTAACCCCCAACTCAAGTAACTGACGACCAAACAGGACACTCTGCCAACCCCACGACGGGTGGGAGTGAGCCTTAGCATGAGGGAAATGCCCATAAGGAAAATACTTACCCTTATAGACTTGGGCCAGAAGAGACTCGGGCTCAAACAGGATAAGCCACCCAATTTTGGCAAGAAGGGCCTGGTTGAAAAGATCAAATCGGCGAAACCCCATCCCACCATCATGCTTACTCCGACACAAATCACGCCAGGACATCCACCAAATTTTCGAATGACCCTCATTTGCACCCCATCAGAAGCGGGCGACATGTTTATCTAGGAGACGACACAGAGAAAGAGGCAGCTTGAAACAGGACATTACATGCAACGGTAACGCCATAGCAATTGACTTTATCAGCGTCTCTTTAGCCGCCCAAGATAAAGTCTTCTGCTTCCATCCTTGAAGCCGCTCCAACAACTTCTCCTCTAAATATCAGAATGTCTCCATTTTAGATCGAGCAAGCAAAGTAGGCAGACCCAGATATTTATCCTGGACCCCAACTGCCCCCACCCCTAGTATCGGTGCTAAGAATTCTTGATCCGGCAAGGCAATATTTTTGCTGAAGCAGACCTCTGATTTAGACAAATTCACTCGCTGGCCACTCAGCTCCTCGTACTCATTTAAAACCTCTATCAAATTTTCACATTCCTGGAGCGTGCCATGCAGGAACAGATAAGAGTCATCTTAAAAAACAAATACGAGATCCTAGGGGCACGCTAAGCCACTTTAACCCCCGCTAGTCTTTTTTTCCGAAATCGCCTTGTGCAGGAGAGCCGCAAATCCTTCAGTGCATAGCACAAATAGGAAAGGGGACAAAGGATCCCCTTGGTGTAGCCCCCTGGAAGGAGTGAAATACCCCGATGGGGTACCGTTCATTAGCACAGAAAAAGACGAGGATCGGAGACACTCGTGTATCCATCCTTGCAACACCGAGTTAAACCCCATCTTATCCAAAACCGCAAGTAGAAAGGGCCATTGGACTCTATCATAGGCCTTTTCCATGTCAATCTTTAAAGCCATGTACCCTTTCTTCCCCTGCGTTTTGATTTTCAAGTAGTTCATTAACTCGTGCCCAAGGAGGATGTTCTCAACAATTTGTCAGTCCCGAATGAACGCATTCTGTCCTGCCGAGATGATAGTGGTAGGATAGTTGACAGTCGTTCTGCCATGATTTTGGTTATAACTTTATAAACAAACTGGCATAAACTGATCGGACGCAGCTGTCTCATCGATTCCACATTATCCACCTTCGGGATTAACATGAGTCAGGTATGATTGAAGCTACGGAGCATCCGACTCGTTGTGAAAAACGAACAGACTGCCTCAACCACCGAGCTACCCACAATCTCCAAGATTCCTTAAAGAATTTCCGCGTGAAACCATCGGACCCGGGAGCCTGTTTTATCCCATCACAAAGACAGTTTTTCGTACCTCATCCGGGAGCACAGCAGTCGTTAGGCCGACATTCATTTCCTGAGTGACAGGATGGTCAATAGGCAAAGCAGCTACCTGGTCTCGCATATTCGGAACTTGATTCTCAGACGTGAAAAGATGGGAATAGAAATCAGTTGCAATATCTGGCTTCCCCTTTCATCAGTGATCCAGTCGCCATTCTCATTTTTGAGTCCCGCCTCAAAGTTTCGTTTACGACGCGTACTTGTCATAGTATGGAAGTAAGACGTATTTTTGTCCCCCTTCTTCAACCAGTGAACTCTGGACTTTTGCTGCCAGTAAACTTCCTCTGCCTCCCATTATCTATTTAACTCCACTTCAAGATTTCGGATCTCATCCCAATCAATTGGGTGAATTTGCTTGATCCTCTCAATCTCGGTTTGTAGAGTTTTTATATTGCGAAGGGAGTTTGTGGTGCCCGCTCTGCTCCAATCATATCATAAATTTTGTTAACTTGTACGAATTGGGTATTTTCTTATTAATTATTATATTATTATATTTTTTAAAAGAGTACATCCCTATATAAAATTTTTGGGTCCGTCAGTAACTCCGGCTACTCCTCCTCCCATCGGAGAAGAGGAAACCCTAATTCCTAGCCCCCTAATCAACAACCTAGTCAACCCAAACACCGCCTCCTTAATGACCGACCTGAGCGGCGTCTTTGAAAGTTTCCTCTCATTCCTCTCATCGCCTATGCGTCCTCCAACAACATTCCATAATCCATTTCATCCTTCTTCCCATTAGCGTATCTCTCTGTGCTCCAATAAGCAATGCCTTACCCTTTTTCCAATAGAGATGGTTGAGTGGGTAGAAGAAGCAGAAGGGCACACCTTTTGTTTTAGTCAAAATTCTCAGCCTATCTTTCTCTCCTATATATAGGTTTATATCCTTAGCTACTCAACAAATTATGCAGATGGTAGAGATCTAGGCTCCAACGGTAGCGCCACCAATCACGTCGTCGTTCTCGAAGTCAAGCAAGATCATCATCTAGCGGTGCCGCCGCCGCGTTCTTCTTCCATATCAGTTTACTTCATCTAGAATATTGAATTACAGAATTACCCACCGTCATCGAGCAAAACCTCGCTGCCTCAAAAGCCCTCGGTCGATTCCTCTCCTGCGGCGAGGGTAAGGAGGAAGCGATTTCACCAGTTGATATGCAAGTCGGGGAGTTCCTGAACAGAATGCATAGCTTGAGTTTCGCCGAGCTGGCTCGGCTGATGGCTGGGTTGAGGAGATTTGAGGGCTGGCGAGAGAGACTGACCGATTGACGATAAAGAAGATTAAATTAGTAATTATAATAATTTTTTCTGTTTTATTTATTTTATTTTGTTATGATAATGAGGTGAAAATTATAAAAAAATATATTTTTTGTATTTTTTAATTGTCACGTCGCTTATTTAACGGTTAACTTTTAGAATTGATTGTTACGTCAGATAAAATTATTGAAGACTAATAAAAAATTATCAAGCTTAAACTGTATAACTAATTTAAACGATCATGAATGAAATAAATTAACTTTAGTGACAAACATAAATTTTTATAGGAATTTTAGTGATCAAACTTGCAATTTAACCTTTCGTAAAGTAATGGGACGAGTTCGAAGAAATTGGACACGACCCGAAATACCCAGAGGCAACGAGAGGGAGCCAATAAACACGATTCAATCAAAATATCCGATCTCATCGTCCTCTACGGCGGCTGTTACTCGGCCGAGTCAAGAACTAACCACTGAGAGAGATACTCAATCCCGGCGGCAGCTTCCTTCCTCGCTTCAAGATTCAGCCCTTCACAATCCGAGATGCAGCAGCAACAGGTACGCGTGATAAGAAAGGGGTGCAAAAAACAGAACCCTAGAAAACCTCTCTCTTTGTCTGCTCTGATTTGAATTTACTCTTCCCCTCCTCGGATTGAACTGATTGTCGCGAGGAAACTCTGAAACCAAACGTTGTAGGCCGGCGGATCTGAAACGGAGGTAACTTGGGGCGATCAGCAGAACATCAACCAATTCGGGAGGCTCAACAATAGATTCCACGATCTCGAGGAAGAAATCAAGGCTGCCAAGGTAATTGCGGGATTTCCTTCTGGGTTTTAGTTCATCATGGGTATTGTTGTTTGATGCCCCATTGCCTGGTTCCATGTTTGCTTTTGATGGGTTGTTGAATTCCACGGATTTGAGTGGTGGGTTTTGATGGAAGTTGGTTTCTTTTTTATTCATTTAGGAGAGCAATGAGAATCTGGAGGATGCGGGCAACGAGCTGATACTAACAGACGAGGAAGTGGTGAGGTTTCAAATAGGAGAAGTGTTTGCCCATGTTCCAAGAGACGAGGTTGAGACCAGGATAGAGGAGATGAAAGAGCTGACCACCAAAAACTTGGAGAGACTGGAACAGGAGAAAGTCTCCATCTTGTCACAGATGGCTGAGTTGAAGAAGGTTCTGTATGCGAAATTCGGAGACTCCATCAACCTCGAGGAAGATTAATGGCAGCAGGTTTGGTTTTGTGATGTAGCTTTGTTGTAGTAGCTTTGAACCATGCTTGCTAGTTGTTGGAACTGAATTGAATTTTGTAGCAAGCAAAGTCTTTCAAGGGAGTTATCAAGTGATTATGAGTATCCATAACATTCTACTACAAGTTTCCATGTTATATTGTATCCTGTAACATTACAATGTTTGATTTACAGCAGCATCATTAGAGACTCTTTTAACCATAAGAACTCGCGGTCTTCTCCCGATCAAAGCAAACCAGATAGGATCACTTGAAACCACTCTGTAACCTGCTCTGTCATATAGCGAGCGAGCGCCCATATCATCTTCGTATGCCTGGAGGGCTAGGTAGTCGAACCCCCATAGTGTTGCCACGGTGTCGCAGGCTCTCAGCAGCACGCTACCGACTTTCTGCCTTCTGTTTTGATCATCAGCATGTAGCAGAAGAATCAGAGTTTGTTAACTAGAGCTAGATGATTGCTTAACTAGAACATAGTTTTCGAACTTTGTTTTAACTTTTAAGGATGGTAGTGGTGGTAACCTGAAACTGCTCATTACAGCTATTCCTGAAATGTAGAGATATTCCCGTGCTCCCATGAGATGTTTGAGTACTTGTGCATCTTTGGCTGCTGTTGCATCGACCACTCCTACGAACTTGGTTGGTGACGGCTTGGAAAAAGATTCGTCATCACTGGCTGGCTCAGCTACCAGACATGCATATCTGTTAAATCACCATCAAATTTAGACATTTCTTTTGTTCTTCTCTGTGCAACTACAGCTTTCTTCCTTCGGGGAGGAAAGGTGGGTTTTTCTTTTACCTGTCCCGCGGTGAGTTCCGAAGCTTGTAAAGCAGTCCTGAAAGCACTTCTGCCTGTAAAATCCAAAGCCATTGAAATCTCCGTAAACTGTTGGGACATGGAATGAGTTCAGAGGGGGATCTCAAATTGGCAACTGCTGGTTTCTCACCTTGAAGAACTGGAAGAAGACGAAATCGAAGAGAGCTACTGGTGTGTGGAAGGCTTCGGCTTGAACCCGAGCAACTTCCTTAACTTCGATCGAGTTATCCACCAGCCGCCTCACCCTCCACCCATACTCCGTCACCAAATTCTGAAACTGCCTCTCTCTTGCTGTTTTGAGACTCGATCGTTCTTCCCACACTTGCTCAGGTGAAGAAACGGTAGAGGGCGTGCTAGCAGTACTGCAGCACAAAACGACATCTTCCTTCGTCCGGCGATTCCTCCGAGAACCGTAAACTACCTCTCTCCTTCCGGTATGAAGATGTAGCCCGAGAGCTTTAGATGGAGAAGACGAAGTTTGGGAGGAAGAGATCGTTCTGGAAATGGAAGGAGAGCATGGCAACAGATGAGCCATTCTTTTTTCTTCTTTTTTTCAATGTTGGGGGATAAATGTGAGGTGATCGATACACTGCTAATTGATGACTGCTCTGTGGAGTGTTTGTGTGAGTGAGATCGACTGCTACCATTTGTGGTGGCCATTCCATGTCTACTTGGCAGCATTTTCAACCTAACGTGTGGCTCCTAAATTCGTTTGGATGCCCACGGAGAGGAGAGGAGAGAAAGAGAAGACCCACCAGCTTTCCCTTTAGCCGGAATCTAGTGAAAACATCAGTTAAAAATGGAGGCCAAAGCACACCCATGAGCTACTATACTGCCATCGATCATCAAATCCAGAACCGAAGAAGCTACAGAAACTGAAAGACACAACTGAAAAGCACAACAACTGTTCTACAGCCATGGCCATAGCCAATACAGCACAAGAGAGAAGAAAAACAACACTATCATCCATGGTATTACCCATCAAAATGCCAAACTTTGCTTAGCATCATAACTGAAAAGCTCTTCCAAGGGCTAATTCCAATTTCCAAACAACATGCCTTGTCGCTTATGCAGGACAGACAACGACCCACCAATCCATTCCCCAGCACAGCAGAACCAAAATTTCGACATCAAAACCCATGAAACTGCTGCTTCAAATTCGAGGATACCCTGTTGCAGTAGTTCCCAAAGGCTGGTGGTGATGATTACTTCCCACAAAGGAGAGCAACCCACCTTCAACTGCACTCTCCTCGTCAACAAACAAGTCCTCGTTGACTCTAAACGCGCCGTGGATCCCCACCACCGCCACGCCAACGATTAGAGCCACCAGGACATTCAATCCCACATCGGTCATCACCAATGCCAACACCGTGACGAGTCCCAGCCCGGCGAGCACCGCTCTGTCGTCGAGATTCCACCCCAGCACCACCAGCGGGGAGCCGTCATCGTCGCGAGCGAAGTAGAGGAAGAACCAGGCGACGAAGACGAGGAGGAAGACGATCATGGAGATTGGGTGCCAGAGGAGGCTCAAGAAGAGGATGAATAGCAGGGTCATTGTGTAGTTGACCCGGAAGTAGCTGGCGTTGAACTTGATTCGGGACATTGCTTGGCCGTAGTCGTAGGGGCGGGAGAAGGAAGAGAGGGTGAATACTTCCCGCCATGGACGGGCGGTGGCGACGATGGTGCGGGTTGTGGTGGCGGCGCGTGAGACGAAGGTTGAGGTAGTCGGTGCTGATGTGACGGTGGTGGTGGTTGTAGGTGCAGGGATTGCGCCGTAGCCGGCGGGTGATTTCAGCGGCATTTGGTGAAAAAGATTGGATCTCGGAAGCGAAGTTAGAAGAGAGAAGAAATGAGGATTTCAAATTTCAATCGGATTGAAAGGGCAAGTTGTGATTCAGGCAAGAATGAGGATTGATGGGATGAGTTTTGAACCGGATTGAAAGAGGAAAGGGAAGAATGATGATTCTGGTGAAATGCGAAATTTATAGGGTTTTGATTTAAGAGAAAAGAGTTCATCGGGGAATCTTTGCTGTAGCCTGTTAGCAATCAGCTTAGTGAAAAAGAAAGAAAAAAGATCGACGCCTGAGAGATTCGAACTCTCGCGGGGAAACCCCATGTACTTAGCAGGCACACGCCTTAACCACTCGGCCAAAGCGTCGCTGTTGTTAAACAATGAAATCAGCTTTATATATAACAACTCGACAACACCCGGTTCTCAACGCCCACCAAAGAGTCTCATTGCCTCAATGAACTGGGCGGGGCTAGTGTTTTTACAATAAATCTCTAGCCAACCTTCCTGCAAAAGATCTTTTCTTAACATCGAAGCTGTTGGTACTAGATAAAAATGTTAAGTTAACTCCAACAATTTCTTTGTCCTCAACGCCCTTTTAATTTTAAGGAATTAGGCACTTCAACAGTCTTCGATGGTTATACAGGTATCCAAAGTACCAACGAGATGGATATTTGTTGTCCCAACCATTCTTCTTAGTTCCGATCCTGATACGGGCGTTTCTAACAAAGTTTTCGTGTTGTTGATTCCTAGGGGTCGTGCTTTTTCCTCCATGCCCGCCTATTGGTACTATTGGAATGGGGTTAATCTACAATACAAAAACCATGCCTGCCATAGGGATAACCTTTCGCTCAATGCTAGAATCGATAATTGAAGCATTTAAGGCTGCATTAATCGGGGATACACGACAGAAGGAATTGGTTTCTTTTGGAACTACACCTTCAACAAGCGTAGAGTTATTTCAAATGTTTCTATCCCCACTAAGTGTCTTTCTCCACGACAATTACGGAACGCCCCGAATAATCAACCCGTTTGCCGAGCATAGTCTCGCGAAACCTTCCCTCTTTGCCTTCAATTACATCTGAATCGAACAAAATCAAAAAGTCCGTTTTTTTTATTCCATTTTTTCTTTTTTAGAAGTTTTTATTAGAATTTTGAAGAAATTTTCTAAGCCAAAGAAGTCTTTTTTATATCAATCAATATATATAATATTGATTGATATATATTGATTGGTTAATTGAAATATTGAGTTAAAGATATCTTTTTAGGGCATTTGTTTAATATTTTAATATATAGTTAATTATTATTAATATATTAATTCTAAAAAAAATACAAAATAAACAGAAATATATTACGATATTTCTATAATTCTAGAAAATTCATAAATTTTATTTATTATACTTTTGAATAGAAAATATTCAAAAAAAAGATTTCGAATTTTTAAATTTCGATTTTCTAATTAAATAAAAAAAAAACTTTCTTTTTAAGCTTTACGTTAATTTAATATAGTAATTATCTTTTTTTAATTGGGAGAGATGGCTGAGTGGACTAAAGCGTCGGATTGCTAATCCGTTGTACGAGTTGTTCGTACCGAGGGTTCGAATCCCTCTCTTTCCGGTTCCGTTGATGTTTTAATATTTTTTATCTTTCAAAAATTTATAGATTCTCTTTTTGTTTATTTAACAGTTAAAAATTAAAGATAGAGAGTCGATAAAATGTTAAGAACATAAAAAAAAAGCAAGGAAAAAGATTTTTTTATTCTTCGCGCCCGGGGTTACGCCCTGGATCATTAGATAAAAATCCGAAGATGAAGAGAGAAACAAAGAAGATCACTACTGTGTAAACAAAGAGTTTGAGAGTAAGCATTACACAATCTCCAAGTTTTTGGTTGAAAAAAAAAGAAAATCGATTCTCTATTTAATTTTTTTTATCCCACATCCCCATTTTGACACGAAGAAATGAAGTAGTTTCTACAAAAAGAAAAGAATTTTTAGACATTCATTTGAAACAAAAGTCGAGTCTTGCATTGCCTAAAAAGGGATTTTATCCCTACTGATAATCCTAATCAAACTAGTTTTGTTTCCTACCTCCAATTCGATATTGGAGGGGGATAATAGGATCTTTTTTAATGAACTGAGAAAGAGTTTAGAATGGGAAAAAGCGAAGTGATCCCGATTTCTCGTGTTTATTTTTTGAATTTGAAAAGACCTTCAATATTTGAGTTGAGGGCTTTTATTCTAAGACGTATCTGATCTTCTCAATTGTTCGAATTTCTAATTTTGTTCTTTTCCGATTTTGAATAAAGCATGATTTATTCTAGGATAGTCAAGATCTTATCGAAAACTTACAGCAGCTTGCCAAACGAAGGCTAATAGAAAAAAGAAGAGAGGGATTACTGGCATAATATCTACAATTGGATTTAAAAAGGCGTAGGCTTCGGGCAATTTTGTGAAGAAAAAACTACCTGAAAAAAGGTCAGAATTAAGACAGATATAAATCAAACTAAAAAATTTAAGCATAACAAATATTTTGTTCTTGAAGATAATTGTGAGTTATTAATATGTTATTGATATAAAACTTGATCGAAAATCCAAGCAAGGTAGCCCCAAAAAATCCTTCTTTTTAAAGTCGCGGAATTCCCAATTCTTCAATTCTCAAATCAAAAAAGAATAGAAGAAATTCAGTTTTCATACAATATCTTAATTGAATTCTATATTATGATCAATAAATTTAGTTGAATTCTATATCTACGCATATCAAAATACGAAAACCAAGCTAATTTATTTCATAACTATTTGAGCAGGAATTGACGAAGAACCAATACTAATGTTAGTTTTTAGTAGTATTGAATGAAAATAGAAATGGGGCGTGGCCAAGTGGTAAGGCAACGGGTTTTGGTCCCGCTATTCGGAGGTTCGAATCCTTCCGTCCCAGAACATACTTAATGACAGAATTAGGAATTTATATATGAATATCACCCAGTTGAACAACTGTATATTTAAGAATATAATAAATGCAATTCGTGTTTCTTGGTTTGAATAATTTTGTATTTAAAACTAAAACAAATTCTTTTTTTTAGTGTGTTTTTCTCAACACATTACCATTCATATTGACAACGATGTGCCAAATAAATATAATCCGATTGGGGTAAGTCGATCTGTTTTGGGGATCTATTTATCCTTCTTTGATAGGTTTGTTTTTTTCTTCAGTCAAATGATGCATTTCTTGTGATACAAAAATCTTTTTTTGATCGAAAAAAAGGAAATATGAAAAAAAATCTATATGTGTAAGAAAAAAATGCATTTTCTAAAAATCGAACTAATAAAATAAAATCATATTATTTTATATATATTGATATTAGACAAAATAGTTCCATTTTCAATTTTATTAATTGAATTAATATCGATTATATATTATTATTATATAATAATATTAATATATATTAATAATAATATTTTTAGTATTCATTTTTCTTAATAATAATTAAGAATGAATAATATAAGAAAGAGAAGAAATTATCTTGAAGTTTTTCTTTTTTCTATATATACTTTTTTTCGTGAGGTCCATTCTATTTTTTTTATGTTTCGAAGGAATTCGATAGTTGTAGATTCAGTTCATTTCTTGCTAGTTTAATGTTTTGATTATCCCGTATGATTCAAGCTTTTTTTTCCTTTGTATGTATATAACCTAAATTTTTAGGGGGGTTGCTAACTCAACGGTAGAGTACTCGGCTTTTAAGTGCGACTAACATATTTTACACATTTGGATGAAGAACCAAATTCGTCCATACTATCGGTATAGTTTGTAAGACCGCGACTGATCCTGACAGGAATGAATGGAAAAAAGAGCATGTCGTATTACTGGGGATTTTCTGAGAATAGTTCATTTTGACCAGGAACAGAGCGGGTCCAAACCTTATTTGAATTCTTGGTAAAGAACATAAAAAAAAATTCAACGTTGGGTCGAGGAAATAAATGGATAGAGCTTTAAGGCTCCAATTATCAGTAAACAAAAAAGAAATGAGCTTCCCTTCTTAATTTTCATTTTTTTATTTGAAATTAAAAGGATTATCCTATCTAAATTTACGTTAAAAAGGTATTAGTGCCTGATGCAGGAAAGGCTTTTCCATAAGCGGATTTGCCATTTTTTTACTGAGTCCTAACTATTAGCTATTCTCCACTATGACTATCAGTAGGAGATGAGTGTGTAAAAGAAAGAGTATATTGATAAAGAGATTGTTTCCAATATCAAAAGAGCGATTGGTTTGAAAAAGTAAAGGATTTCTAACGATCTTTTTATCCTATAATGAGCAGAATCTAATTAGATGGAAAAAAGAGAGGATAGAGAATCCGTGGTGATGAGTTTATCCCTTTTCGAGGTATTTATTATATTCCTTTTTTTACTATATCGCACTATGTATTATTTAATAACCTAAGAAATCCCTTATCCTTGCTTTAATCAAATCCAATTTAAAATTTTAAGATGCAATGCAAATGACAAAATATACAAAATATTTAGAACTAGATGGATCTCTTAAAAAAAGCTTCCTATACCCACTTATCTTTCGGGAGTATATTTATATAGTTACTTATGCTCGTGGTTTAAATGGATATGGATCCATTTTTTCGGAACATGTAGGTTGTGACAATAAATCTAGTTTACTAATTGTAAAACGTTTGATTACTAGAATGAATCAACCGAATCATTTCATTATTTCGGCTACTGATTCTGAACAACATATACTTTTTAGGTATAACAACATTTTGTACTCTCAAATGATATCAGAGGTGAAGCACGCTTAGAGAGAGGAGGCTCAACTACGATCATGTGAATCGATTGAAACTTCTGGCACAAAAGCATAGTGGATGGGTTCAGACAATCCATATTCAACATAGCATACAAACAAACAAAATCCGCCTCACACAAATCTACTCAGAAGTCACCAACAAACAAGCTATGCTATTGCCATTTGCCACTAACTGATTCAAGAACCCAAAACTTGGCACACATCACAGCGATCTCTCATATCCATCGGCTTCTCCACAACCAAAACTTCTGACGACACAATTCACGAAGATTTCCTGTTATTCTTACCATGAAACTTTCGCCCAGCTTCCACGGCTTCCCTGCATGGTAAATCACCAAGAATGAAGAAAACCGAGCAAGGAAAAAGAATGTAAATGTTTGGAATGAAGGATGACAGTTGGGCAACGAACCCAAAGGCTTGGGCAAGTTCGATACTATTCGGGTCGAGCTGCACTCCGTCGTAGAATGCATTTGCTGCTTCTTCAAACCTCTGTTATTAAGAAGCAATTTTATCAATGATAGTTGTCAGGAAAGTTGGAATCTTTTATACACTTAGGTCATGCTAATGGAACTTTTATTTTAAGGGAACTATGCCTGAAGCAAACGTAGAGCTGCTCCTTCTCGGTAGCAAGCTTTAGGCCAGTCTGGGTTCAATGCTCTGCACTCTCTTGCATCGCTCAAAGCGTGCTCGCTTTGCCCCATTCGTAACCAACAAAGGCTTCGATTCGAAAACAAAGTGTAGTCCGTAGGGTCCATATCAATTGCCTGACAGGTGGGAGAAAATTGCAAGCTTACTGAATAAATTCTTCGTCGATATGTACTTAGTTATGCTGGAAAGCTCAGTGAGTAACAAACTGTACCTGGGTATAAGCATCAACAGCCATTTGAAAGTCGTTTCTTTTGAAAGCCTCGTGTCCTCGTGATTTTGCTTCAGCAGCTTTTGCTTTTGCTTCTGGGGACACCTTTAACATATAACTATCACTTAGAACACAGAGTGGAGTTTGGAAACAACAAGGGTTAACTTGCAAATGTTTTTGTATTATTTCATTATCCAAAATGGCAGTGATACCTCAGGTAGATCTTCCTTAGGTAAAGTGGCTTTCGATAGATTGACATCCTTAACATTCCTCACTAGTTCCTGCATTTGTAGCCAAAATAATGAAGCAGAAAATTTACTTGCTTGTCATTATAAGAAAACCAATATATCAGCAATTCCAATATGATAACACTAGGGAGAAGGACCAGTAGATCAAACCATGACATACATAAAAAGAAAGCTCGTGCAAGGGTTCAGCCATGACAGGTTCTTATTCATAAGAACCAAACCCATCACAGTACCGAGATTCAGAAGGAAATATTGCACATTGCAAAGCATGGAAAAGCATTGACTAAAGGTTTCTTTATCATATAACTATTACTTATTACTCACGATAGGATTAGTTTGTCTTCAAGATGGCAGAAAGTAAAGCACAAATGGTGTGTTATCCTAGATTAGAACATTAGGAAAACCTCACATGAGCATTTCATGGCAAGGGCTTGCCATGAAATTACAATCATGCAATCGACAATGCTGCGACAGATTTCTAAAGGATAAAGGAACGCCTGACTGATAAAAATACAAACTTAAAAGATCTACAGAAGCTAGCAGTTCACTGGACAAAATAAAACAATACAAACTTCCATAATTACCTCTTGCTTGTCGGTTTCAGATTGCACATATCTGATGACACCATCAACAGTCCACTCAGGAACTTTTTCCATTTTTCCAGTCACTGGTAAAAGGATCTCAACAGCTGCATGATTTCCTCGTGATGCTGCTATCTGTATAGCCTTCAGACCATCCTGATTTGGATAAGTAGAAATGAAAACCCATAAACAACCAAAAGATTGCCTGGAATAGAACCAAGTCCAGAAATTTTATAAAGTTCCCTCACATCCCTTCCAGTGAAAAAAAAAAAAAAAACAATTATGAACTGTAAATGACTTACATCATCAACCTTGTTCGGATCAGCACCAGCTTCGAGCAAACATTTCAACATTTCTATGTTCCCGTGATCTGCCGCAATGTGCAATGGTGTTGCTCCACCAGCCAAGACATTCACATTAGCCCCAGCCTGGCCACAATAAAAATATCCATGTTAATCAAGTAATCCTGGGCCATTGTGAAAGTCGATTAACTAAGACAACAGTGATACTGAAGTATGTACGAATGAACAGACAGGGGAGGGGAGGCATACCTGAACCAACAGCTCTGTGCATGCTGATGAATTTGCTGCAACAGCTGACAACAATGGAGTTACACCATCTTCGGTTTCAGCGTTGGGCTACCAAAGATATAAAAGAAATAACGTAAAAAATGTAAATAAAACTGCATTGTGCAGCATGATATTAAACAAAACCAACAAATGACTTCTGCTTTCAAAAATAAGACACGGACATTAAAATTCCAAATGATTATGTTTCTCCAGTTTAGATCACATGGAATCAAAAGAGCGCTTAGATATCTATGTCACATCAATGCCCCTAAACACCAACACAGATTCCTGTCTCTCTTCAAACATTGAAGTGTGAGCCATCTCCCCTTACTACTATGCTTTCTCTGGCATGCCAATTGCCACGTAAATCAACAGGTTTTCTGAGAATTGTGCAATTTTTGGTTCCAATAAGAAGATGGTCTGAAAAACAGAGTCTCAAGAGATGTAAATGGTGAAAAAGATGGACCTCTACACAAGCAATGGTGAAAACGTGATCAAAAGGTGTGTCACTTGCCTTCCCAGAGTTACTCAATGCCTAATTGTATTAAACTTCTCTATACAGCAAAGAGGACTTTCTCTCAATTCAAAGCAGGAGAATGTATAAATCAACAGGATTCCTGAGAGTTGTGGAATTTCTGGTTCCAAAAAGAAGATGGTGTGAAAAACAGAGTCTGAAGAGACAGAAATGCCGAAAAAGATGGACCCTAAACACAAGCAATGGTGAAAACGTGATCAATAGGTATACAACTTGCCTTTCCAGAGTTAATATCTAATTGTATTAAACTTCTCTATACAGCACAGAGAACTTTCTTTCAATTCAAAGTAACAGAATGTATAAACAAGTGTCTATGAAGTACCAAGCACATGACACTCTTGATTCCCTAGCTGACCAAACAAACATAATCAGAGAGGGGAACCAGCTTACATTAGCATGATGTTCTAACAAAACTTTCAAAGCTTCTTTCTGTCCATTTCCAGCAGCCCAAACTAAAGGAGCACCAGCATCACTGTCTAAATCAACCTCCATACCCTTTGAAAGTAAGTACTTCAGTAATTCAATGTTTCCTGCAAATAAGTTTGCCACATCGTAAGACCTATATGGAAAGATATAAGGGATATCTGGTATGGACTACGACTTCAAGTGACATTTTCATGACATACATTAGGACCAACGCGTCCTACATTTAGGGATTTGAAGAAAAATAACACATACACAAAAAGAGAGCTCTTAAGTTACCTGTCCCTGCACAATGATGCAGTGCAGTAGCCCCCATATCACTTGGAATCTTCGGACTGGCACCGCGCTCAAGAAGGTATTTAGCAGTGTCATTATGCCCTTGCTGAGCAGCATGGAGAAGAGGAGTCTCTCCTGTAACATATTGTTCAACAGAGAAGGGTATTGTAGGCCAACATCAGATTCAACACTTGCAATACAATGGGCTAAGCCAAAAGAAGCGCAATCATCAATCTCAAAAGATACATAAGGTGGATTACCATCTTCGTCCTTAGTGTCAACATCAAGCTTCAATTCCTCCAACAAGTACTTGCAGACTTCAGTCTTTCCTTCTCTTGCAGCAAAGTGAAGTGCCCCACGTTGCTTGGCGTCCTTAATGGCGGCAACAGTTTTAGCCATGCCCTGACCGTCATCGAGCTGGGCGGCAATATCTATTCCAATCAACATAACCCACCAAAAACAATAGCTGGGATCAGGCCAAAGTTGAACCCGAAACACGACATAGCTATACAAGAAAGAAACAAGAAACAAGAGGGAGATTGGAAGAGAAGCGGAAATGAATTTACTCTTCAGAAGATCCAAATTCCCAGTAAGAGCAGCATTCAGGAAGCTCTTCACCATCTCTCTGACTGCATTCACAGCATCCAAATGTTAAACGTTAGAAGGCGACCTCCGAAAAGAGAAAAAATGAACGTAGCGAAGAAAAAAGGAGTAAGAAAGAGGGAGGAAAGCTGAGATTACCAGCGAGGGCGTCGGAAGCATCAGGAGCCATGGCGGTAGAACCCTACAAAAGCTCTGTCTGAGTTAGGGGCCCGTACGGATTTCGGCGAGGGTTCGCCGGAGTGCAGTCAAAGGAGAAGAAGACTCCGGCAGACGTCCGTGTAATGTGTATATAGGAGAAGTTTCTGGGCGGCGGGAGGAAAGTGTTTACACAAGACGGAGTAGAGGGGGAAGAAAAGAGAAATGAGATTGACGAGGTATAACTTTATAAGTAAATGCAGCCTAAATAAAATTATTAAATCAATTCTTTTTTCTTTGGTAAATGAAATTCTCAATACCAATTTCCAATTAGTAATTTTGATAGACATGGTTTATCCGGTTGGCCCGGTCGAGCAACGGAGCAAGTATATGAAGGATTAATAATTCGATCATTTTAACTCAACTCATTTCAAATATTTAGAAAAAATGCATTATATTGTTTATATAAATATAAATCATATAAAATCACATATACCATCTATCATCTAACATATGAGTAATAAAATATAATTATTAAAATAAATAGAATTTGATTATCTGTCGTCGATTGGAAGTCATGGAAAATCTCACTATGTGCAATATAATATAACTCTTGATATGACTTGATATGAGTACTACATATACTACTCATATTCATCTATAATATGTAATTTTCTCAAGTATAGTGAAGATAGCACTCTCCCACCTGTGGACTGGCTAATACATGTTGTGTTAGTGAACCACGTAAATCTATGTGTTCTTTATTTTCTTACCGATAGTTGTCTTTCTTATCTTATGGATTACCAGGGTCCGTGTATGTGATAATAACATTCCACCAAAATAATAGTTTGTACTTGAATCCAACATATAGTAAAACTAAAACCCACTCAAATCCACCATGTTTCTTCGCGATTGGCACCTTGAATAATCTGGAACAACCTAATATATATAGATAGAATCATGATTCGAAGAGTTGGAAACCATCATTTTTTCTTTTACTCCAAGGGGTCGAAGTCGGTTTTGCTTGGGTTAACGCCGAATTCCTTATATTTTGATCTAGTTGAAGCGGGTTCGATGAATCAGAGTGAAGTTCAAAACGGGTGACACCCATTTCCCATTGGATCCGGGTTAACCCAAGTGTTAACAACTTTGATGAAAATAAAAATAAAAATTGAATTGTTATAATGTCATTCTAAAATCACTAAACATCATCTTGACTTCAGTACGTAAATTGTGCAATTTTCCATTTTAAATTTCAAATTGAAACTCAAAACAATGAGGCTATATCTCTCCTCCCCCATTCATAATTATTAGAAAAATTCATATGTCAGCCTTCCTACTTCCTTTGCCTACCTCCAACAACAAAAACCTACCACATCTCTTCCTCCTTCTCAACCTCCGATAAGCCTTACCCTGTTCCAGCCTTCCTCTGTTGGAGAATCGACCGACAACATAACCCAATCAACGGGTCCGGATCCCCTCAGTAACCAATATATCAGTAACCATCAGTAACCGCTCTATCAACCGTCCATTCCATCCGCTTTTCAACCGTCAGATCAAGCAAAAGTAACTACACGGGGGGGGGGGGGGGGGCAAAATAGTAATCTTTCCATCTGACAATTTGAAAAGCAGACGTGACATTAAACCGTGCCCGCCTTCTTTCCTTCTTTCTCTCACCTTTCACGCGACAGTTGCACTTCCCTCTGCTCTCTAACTCTCCATTCTTCATCCAATCGCGCACCAAAAACTTCAGAAAACACAGAATCATTCAACGATTTTCGCAAAGGTTTTCGAAGAATCATTCAACGATTCACTGTTCTCGCTTCTTCGTTGAAAAACGAAGGGTTTCCAACTTCAACGAGGCTCAAAAATCGTTTTCGCACAAAATATCAAGGTAAAACCTCACTTCTTTCTTCGAAATCCATCCATAGAACAATAGAAACAGTATTTCAGTCACTCTTCATGTGAAAATTGTAGTAAAACTCGCTACATTACCGAATTGTTAGCATGCGTTGCTGAACTGGTGTAGAATCTGTTGTGTTTTGCTTCGTTACCACATGGTATGGCGTGGTAAGCTATGATTGCACGTTATAAAAAGGCGAGAAACCGTAACTCCTTCTGTGTTTTAGTTTGTTACCATATGGTAATGTGTAAGTAAGCTATAGTTTCATGTTGTAAAATAGCAAAAAACCATAAGTTCTTCTGTGTTTTAGTTTGTTACCATATGGTAATGTGTGGTAACCTATGGTTTCATGTTGTAAAATAGCAAAAAACCATAAGTCCTTCTGTGTTTTAGTTTGTTACCATATGGTAATGTGTGGTAAGCTATGGTTTCATGTTGTAAAATAGCAAAAAACCATAAGTTCTTCTGTGTTTTAGTTTGTTACCATATGGTAATGTGTGGTAAGCTATGGTTTCATGTTGTAAAATAGCAAAAAACCATAAGTCCTTCTGTGTTTTAGTTAGTTACCATATGGTAATGTGTAGTAAGCTATGGTTTCATGTTGTAAAATAGCAAAAAAAACATAAGTCCTTCTGTGTTTTACTTCGTTACCATATGGTAATGTGTGGTAAGCTATGGTTTCATGTTGTAAAATTAGCAAAAAACATAAGTCATTCTGTGTTTTACTTCGTTACCATATGGTAATGTGTGGTGAGCTATGGTTTCATGTTGTAAAATAGCAAAAAAACATAAGTCCTTCTGTGTTTTAGTTCGTTACCATATGGTTATATATGGTAAGCTATGGTTTCATGTTGTAAAATAGCAAAAAACCATATGTCCTTCTGTGTTTTAGTTTGTTACCATATGGTAATGTGTGGTAAGCTATGGTTTCATGTTGTAAAAATGGAGGAAAACATAAGTCCTGTTGTGTTTTACTTCGTTACCATATGGTAAGATCTTATAAGACATGGTTTCATGTAATTACCATATGGTAAAATGTGATAAATATATGATTTGATTAGGTATGGTAGGAAACCATTATGGTACCATATGGTATATTATGGTAAAAAGCATACTAACAGACTATTACTAATTTCTACATTCAGGTACACTATGGTAAAACCAAGACAAAGTTTTCGCACAAGGTGCAGCCCAACAAGAATATCTGCAATTGCAAGGTCAATAACAGATGAACGGAAAGCGCAACTTGAGATATTAGGCCTAGCAGGCTTAATATTAATCAGGCAGACAAAGATAAATAATCATTTTGCTCTGTTCGTAATGAACAAATACAATCCAATGAAAGAATCGTTCAAGCTACCTGACGGGACACGCATGAAGATATCACCAATCGACTTTCATAGAGTATATGGTCTGCCGATGGGGAATAGGGAAGTTGTACCTCCCATGATTTCTTGGGACGACGCAGCAGATTATGCAGTAGAAACCCTACTCGAAGTAGATGGAACATCCACTCCAAGGGTAAAGCTAAGTCAGGTAGAAAAAGATCTTCCTACAACTCCAAACAGTAAGATATGGTTACAATTGTTCTTTCTGCTGGTCACTGGAGGCTTGCTGTGTCCAACTTCAGCGCCTATGGCTGAACTCAACATGCTTGAGTACTTGAAGACTGAAGAACTGAAACATTTCACCAGCTACGACTGGTGCAAATACTTCTTCAAACACATGAATGAAGGATTGAAATCATCAAACCTCTATGTCAGTGCAGATCTTCACTTCCTTACAGTAAGTCTCCATTCCCTTGGCCATTTCAACCTTGTTACTCATATATTTTACATATAAATGATAATCTTTCAAAAAACTAATACAACTATCTGCATAATAAAGGTATGCTTCATGTACAAACTGGACGAAATGGCATTCTCAACCCAGCTTCGAACACCAATAGTAAGCTACTATGATGATCTCAATGTCGAAACAAACTTTGAGAACATTAAGAGCTACTACAATGAAAAAGAGTTGACCGAGATCGAAAAGGTTGCCAACATTAATGATGATGAGGCTGATGATGCAACTGATGAGGAAGAGGAGAATGAGCCAATCTATCAGTCACCGAAAAAACAAAGAAACAAAACTCCAGACCAGTCATCATCACTGAACTTTGATTTGAAGAATATCAGAACAGTCAACCAAGTAAGTACAAATTATCTATATTACAGTTGTCCAAATACATGCTAACCGTAATTCCTTCTATGTTTTAGTTGGTTACCATATGGTAAGGTGTGGTAAACTATGGTTTCATATTATAAAAATGGAGGAAACCATAAGTCCTGTTGTGTTTTAGTTTGTTACCATATGGTAATGTGTGGTAAGCTATGATTTCATGTTATAAAAATCGAGGAAAACATAAGTCCTGTTGTGTTTTACTTCGTTACCATATGGTAATGTGTGGTAAGCTATGGTTTCATGTTATAAAAATGGAGGAAACCATAATTCTTGTTCTGTTTTACTTTGTTACCATGTGGTAAGATATGGTTTCATGTTATAAAAATGGAGAATTGTGATAATAATTGCCAATACCATGTATTACCACCATGGTAACTAACCATACACCATACACACATTACCACCATGGTATCTTACAAAACTCCCATTATGCAGGCTGAGAATGCAATCAAACTGCTTGAAGCATCAATGAAGGCAATGATGAAAGCAATCAAAGACCAGTACAACAGCCAAATTGAGAATCTGATCAGACACAAGGAGAAACTTGAGAAAGAAAGCTGTGATGAATATGTTCAGCCCACAGAAGGAGAAAAATCTCAGTGTGAAGATGATGAAGAAGAGAATGATGAAGAAATGAATGCCAGTTTGGATAAAACAATCAATGAAATATTCAAACAGGCAAAGATAGACAAGAACAAAGAGGAGAACGAGGAGCAAACACAGAAAGAAGATGATTCACAACCATCTACAGTCGATCTTGTTGCATCTACACCGAAGGAGCAAGATGATTCTGCTCCAGCAGCTGTGAATAAGGAAAGCATCCAAGAAGGAGATCCACTGGGGAAAGTTGCAACAGAACCACCAGCTGTTCAAGAAGATCTGAATCAGGGAACACCACAACAAGA